GTATACTACAGTATTGATTACAGAAAAAAAAAACTCTCAGAAACTTGTACGAACCCAGAAGTAAGATTTTTGGCACAGAAATACTCTGTCATACGTCCAAATTGTTTTTTGAAATTTTGTCCGTGCATGAGAATCCAACTCTTTAACAGTGTAAACAACTCTGAATGCATGAAACAGCATTGTACCCCCCATTTAATAAGATTTACTGGGGTGTTAAATTAGGTCAGACACTACACCTCCCTGGGGTCTTTTAGGCACCAATAAAACACCTGAAGGTGACTTAGTTTGTTGCCTTTGAGTGACAAAACAACCTTTGGATAGCAGATACGATTATTATTTTATTTGCCACCAGTGCTATCTAGAATGTGTGGAAGCCCTTTGATGCAATGGAATAAAAAAAGTTAAGCTTTATATCACAGAATTCACAGTATTTATTTTTTTTTCTCAGAACTGTTTCATGTCTCACGATTTTGAGTTTGCATCTTGCATCACATATATAATTTTATTTCTCATAATTATGAGTTTACATCTTGCAGTTAAGATCTTTAAAAGGCATAAACGGATGTTACAATCCAGCATTTACTTTTTTATGTTTTCTTCTGTAGCAGAAATGGGCTTCCGTGAGACTGACTGAAGTTCATAAACAGCATTCATAAACAGAAAAATAAGATTTTAACAGCTGAAAATCTAATTGTTGTTTGCAACAAAAAACAAAGATGTCAATATGTGACCTCGTCAAATTTTATCAGCATTCTTTTATCATGATTCTCTACTGGGAAAAAAAAAATCATAATGAATTATTTGGTCTTGTTTACCAAAACATCCAAAACATGAAAAATTTGTTATCCCCATTTACTAAGTTTTGTTTTAAGTGCTAATCTAATCGTAACTTTTAATTTGCCTAATTCTTTCAAAATGACTCTTATCTTACACAATTTGGATAAGTATAAAATATTATATAAAACTAATATTTTTTATATATATATATATATACAGTATGTGTGTGTGTGAATCTAATTTATTAAATATAAATATTACATATTATAATAAAAATATGTAAACATGCTTAGATTTTTATATTGTGAATTCAGGTTAATTGGGACATTTCTTCCCAGTCACCTAAATGGCATAAATTTTCCCAATTTACCTGAATTCACCCAATATATGCGTATACTATATCAAAGAATCCTGGGGGAAAAAATCATGGTGTATCATGGTTTAAGAAGCAGCACAACTGTTTGCAACACTGATAATAACAGCAACTCAACATATTAGAATGATTTCTGAAGGATCATGTGACACTGAAGACTGGAGTCAGTAATGACCGTCACAAGAATAAATTACATTTTAGAATATATTAAAATAAAAGTCATTTTAAATTGTAATAACATTTTAAAATATTTATTTTCTTTTTAATTTTAACTTTTTGGCAGTTTATGGGGATTATACACTGTAAAGGTTTCAGTGTATATAACTCACATGTTAGCGTGTCAATTAGGCAGTAGTAACTCTTCAATGATACAGGTCATTTCCAGCCAATGAAGTGCAGACAACATCTTCCCTGCATACACTCAATCATTGCCTGAGAAACAGATTGAACCACCATCAGTAGAGCAGTGTGTCCTTTTTCTTTTACAATTGGGTTTCCGTTGAGATCCCAAATCTGATTGTGTGTGTAATAAAGTGAAGACAGCCAGGCCCTGCTCTGGTTTATGTATTGTTTTGTTGTTTCTGCAGCTCCAGCACCCACCCAGCCACCGACCGCACCACCCACCACCATCCCTCCTCCCACCATCCCCCCAGCCAAAGAAGGTAGGACACCAGTGTGGGAAAAACTGGCCTGTCTGCCATTGTTTTTCCCTGTTTGTTGGCCATGTCCCTATGTGTTTTGTGACCTTTCTCTAACGCACATCTCTGCTGACAACTAACCTTTTCTTATTCTCGGAGCCACTCCACACTCAATAAATATGTCTGAGTCTCCCCAACACATCTGATAAAGGCACACAGAACTTATTTAACCTCCTTATATAGATCTTTTTTAGATCCCTCATTTCAAACTTTATAGTGAACATATTGGTTTCATTGTCTGGCCAAAAGCTTATGGTGTTTAATGCATCATAAAGTCACACCTGAATAATTTCTTGCCCTGAAACTAAATGCTTCTTTAGATTTATTTGTTAGTTTTATATGGCTTTATCTCTGGGGTTTGGGTAGTCACCTGAATGCGTTGCCCTGCATGTCACACATTACTCTTATTAAGGACAGGTCACATGGTAAAAAGTGAAACATTTGCTACCTTAAAGACCTCATGAAATCAAAATGAGAGTCTAATTTTGTCCACGTGTTTAGTTCTTGGATGAAAGTGTGATATGCCTCACAAACTTGCTGTTTTAATAGGTAATATGTCAGCGTAGGTAAAAAAAAGGGGATTTTAATTAATACCAGTGAGTCTAATGAGTCTGTTTACGTAAAAGATTCAGTCAGATTTGATCACTGATTCATTCAGTGTTAAAAGCAAAGCTGAATTTTCAGCAGCCATTTTGGAAACCGTGATACATTTTTGATCCTTTGAGTAATAGAAAGTTTCATTAATTTTAAATATTTGAAATCTTTTGTCACTTTTGATCAATTTAATGCACCCTGCTGAAAAAAAAAACAATGATTTTGTCTCTAAAATAATAGTAGTTGACATTATATGGATATTAGGGAGCATTTTTTATTTATTTATTATGAATTAATAAACCAATTTGTTACAATTCACAGAGTTGTTCATGACCGAAACAATCCATTTATCTCCTTGTTCTGAATGAGATTGACAAACTGAACAAGATGTCCCAATCTGTACACTAATGAGACTTTCCAGTTCATTCAAGTTGTTTACGAGCACAATGCTTGATTCTTTTAGTTTATTCGCAAACAATGTGTCTTGTTCAGTGCCATTCTTGTTCAGACTCAAAACAGCGACTCATCCAACCAATGAAATGCTCCAAACACTTAACAGTACAGACTTTTGAGGTTATGCCTTTATTTTAAGGCATACAATGTTACAGTGCAATTACACAAAGAAGTACTGGTAATACTAATTAACTACATGTCCTATGTACTTACTATAGGGTTAAGTTTAAAGTCTGATTAGGGTTTGTTGCTTAACTATGCATAATTTGTAGTTATTTATGTAGTAAGTATGTGGCATTTAGCACTTACTTATATAGCCTAATTTATTAAGATTGATTCAGTCACTAAATCATTTTGACTTGAATAAAACCAGTTAGATGTTAGTACATAAAGCACATTTTCAGGTAACTGACAGTGTATGTGTTTAGCCCTAAATCCTGCAAAGCACCAGTCTGGCAGAGTATCTAGGAATTAATTAAGCCTCCTTGTTTTATCCAGCTAGCTGTGATGGAGATCCTGTCAGTGAGAAAGGAAGCGTTTGGAATCATTTGACATCTGTTGTACTGCAGCGCTTACACAGTAATGAGAATTTCTTATTTTAGCTAGTGATTTTTCACCTGCTTCCTCTCTCTCTCTCTCTTGCTCTGTCTTCGAACTTTCTTTCTCAGTTTGCAAAGCAGCCAAGGCAGACCTTGCCTTCCTTGTAGATGGCTCCTGGAGTATCGGAGATGACAACTTTCAGAAGATTATCCGTTTCCTGTACAGCACAAATGGTGCACTTGATGTGATTGGCCCCGAGGGAACACAGGTATGCTGCACGTGAAATATTTGTAAAATTCAGTCTGCTTCATATTGTTTTTATTTGTTTACATTGTATAACTTTTCTAAATTTTTTATGAAAAAAAAACACTATCATGCTGAGCTAAAAGCAAAATTGTAAGTGTGTCATTTTGTCAACACAGAGCAAACTGACTGTTTTTTGAGGGCACAAGTACTTATTACAGGAAATTATATACTTAAAGGTGTCATATGATGTTTGCTAAAAATAACATTATTTTGTGTATTTGGTGTAATGAAATGTGGGTAGGCGTGGCTGACTCTTAACTTGTATAAAGAATATCTCTTTTGATTTGAGACTTTAGTCTTTGCAACTTTACAGATCTTCTTTATGCACCAAGAGCTTGTAACACTCCAAAGAGAAAGGAAAAATTGAAATCGCATCATATGACCCCTTTAATGTTTAAGAATTTACTGAAAATAATAGTTTACCCCAAAATGAAAATTTGCTGACAATTTACTTACCCTCAGGCCATCCAAAATGTAAAAGAGTTTCTTTCTTCATCGGAAATCAACAGATTTGGAGAAATTTAGCTTTACATCACTTGCTTACTAATGGATGCTCTGCAGTGAATGGGTGCCGTCAAAATGAGAGTTCAAACAGCTGATAAAAACATCACAATAATTCACAAGTAATCCACACGACTTTACGTACACTACAAGTACACTTTCAGTATTCAAAAAAAAAAAAAAAGCATACTTCTTTTTCACGAGGAACAGATCTGCGATAGAATTTTATATAAACCATAAACCATTAATAGCCTAATATAAATTTGCAGAGTCATGTCATGTGCCATGTGGGCACTACAGATTGAGAAGCTCTGTTTTTGAATTTATAATGTCTGGTTTGCTTCAAAAAGGTTTTTTTTGCTTCTCTCAGAAGATCATTTTTTGGACTGAGGCATCATGGGAATAGCTATTCTGGGCTAGAGACCACACTACCAAGCATTTAACCCAGTAGCCTGAGAGAACATTAGATAAAAATAGCCTTTGTCTAGACTTGTCAGTCCAGGATTCAGAAGATCTTCATCACAACCCATCAGCAGCTTTAGGGATCACAGCAGTGGACCCATTACAACGGATGTGAAAACTGGAGAATAAGCACGTTTCAAGGGCAGGAGCTAAAGTAAACAGAGGAACATTGCACGGATAAAACATCTTCTTTTACACACAGATGTTTGCGTTCTGTCGTCTGCTGAAGGCCATGTAGATATGTTTGACTTGGCTCAAACTGGTTCAACATCAGCAAACTCAATTTCAAACAATTTCAAATAAATGCTGTTCTTTTAAAAACTGAAATTCATCAAAGAATCCTGAAAAAGAAAATGTATCACGGTTTCCACAAAAATATTAAGTAGCCCAACTGATACACTGACATTGATAAAAATAAGATATGTTTCTTGAGCACCAAATTAGCATATTAGAATGCATTTTGAAGGATCATGTGACACTGAAGCCTGGAGTAATGATGCTGGAAATTCAGCTTTGACATTGCAGGAATGACATTTTAAAATATATTAAATAGAGAATTTATGTTATAATATAATACAATATAAATATATAATATAAATATAATGATTTAAACAGTATTAAAGTATGTTAAAAATATAGTATGTCTCTATAAATGTACAGAAATGCCATTTAAAGTCAATTCTAGGGGGAAATACTTTCTGACATTGATGTACTGTTACTTTTAAACATGTGATAAATGGCTACTAACTTACTTTCTACGACTGACAGGTGGCCATTGTTCAGTTCAGTGATGACGCCAGAACAGAGTTCAAGCTCAGCTCCTACAGCGATAAGGAGGCTCTGCTGGACGCCGTGCAGCGCATCACCTACAAGGGAGGAAACACCAAGACAGGCATGTATCTCAATCCTCAGACTGAATTAAACGCCACTGACAGCTGCTCTTGTGATGGACAAACTGAGTTTAATCACAATCTTCTCAAAGATCTCCGTGCACACAGACATTCTACTATCTATCTATCTATCTATCTATCTACCTATCTATCTATCTATCTATCTATCTATCTGTCTATCTGTCTATCGGTCTGTCTGTCTGTCTGTCTGCCTGTTCATCTTCTGATTCTATTATACTCATTCTGCCATTCATTATCATTCGCTCATTCTATCATTTATATTATTATTCGCTCATTCTATTGGTCATTCTATCACTCATTCTATCATTGGCTCATTCTGTCATTCAATCTACTGTTTGCTCATTCTATCATTTTATCCATCCATCCATCCATCCATCTATCTCTCATTTGCTCACTCTCTTGTTTGTTTTATACTAGTCTCATCTGGCCTGCGTTGCATTACAATCTTTAATCTTGTCAATATTTAAAACTCCTTCAAACTTTCTGGCCAAACTTTCTCAAGCCAACATCAAAGTTTGTCTTGACCATTTTATAATTTACTGCAGTTCAAGATATATTCTCCAAAAACAAGTTTTAATATTAAGTTTCCTTATCAAATTAATGTATCTTATTTTAAGTATGTTTAGATATTTTTACTGGAAAACCGGACATAAACACTAATAAACAATTGTTTGTTTGTTTTTTTGTCTAAAGGTAAATTGGTCTTTAAACAGTCAAAGCCATGGAGACAAATATTAAAGTTCTTCTCTAATAGCCGTAATGGTTTTCCTGGTGAACAGCAAGCTAGTCCACAAGATAGATCTGGACCACATTATATCTAGACCACATTACATAAACCAAGTTCTACTGTACTATTTTGGAAATTCATACTGGTCTTGTAATGGGTGACCAGATTTATTCATAATACTTTTGATAGAAATTCTTTATTAATGTCCTGTTTAAGAAAACCTAGACCAAGAACTTCATAGTATTAGTTTGAAAAGCGGCACAGTTCTCAGTGAGCAGCAGAGCAGCATGGTGTGTCCCTGCGCTTGTGTTCATGCTGTCTTGCTGTGAGTCTTTGTTCTAAAATGAAACACCTTTCATTCCACACGGCGGAGGAACGGCAGCCCCCACCCTGCTGTGTCCTCACACACAAAAACGTCCCCGTATAAGGTATATTCTCCATGGCAATGAGCCCCCCGTCAGGGGGTGGGCGGCAGTTGCTGTGCCTCATTGGTGAGAGCAGATACATGTCTGTGGACATGTGTGATCCAGGCATTATGAGCCCGGTGCATTTATCCATCCCGGCTTTACCGGGCTGCTCATTTGAAACATGAGCATGACTTATTTTCTGAGGGTATTAGGGCTAATCCCTTGCCTGCATTTTCATACATTCATATGCACAGGATGAGGTGAGGATCAAAGTGATGGCCTTATTCAATGTGTTTAAACTCAGAAAAAAGAGAAGTCATTTCTGAGTATTAAGACGGTCTGTACGTTTCTCTGAAATTACTTTGGAAAATATTTAAATGGGATAATGTTGTTTTGATGTTCAAAGTTTTCAGATTTTTTTTTTCAGTTTTACCTGATGGTATAGTACAGTTTTGTGGCCTATGGCATGACACTAACCCACATATTTTCTCATTAGTATATTAAAGGAATAATTAATAATGAACATTTTGTAATTATTTACTCTCATGTGATTCCAAACTCATATGTGTATCTGTGGAACACAAAATTACATTTTTGAATGATCTTTTACATTTGTTTTTATATGTTAATGTTATTTATTAAAAGTAATATAATATTATAATTGTTTATACTTATTTATTTAAATATTAATTATCTTTGTATCTAAGAGCTATAAGAGCTATAAATGAACAATATCACACGAGTAGCAGTGCAATATGGCTGTATATCAGCACGGCTGCGATTTGCTGATATATCACACAGCTACGAGTGTGATATTGCGTTTATACAACAGTTTGATGGAATGAGTGTGTAAATACATAAGAGAAACAATGGAGTGTCTTTAAAATCCCTCTTTTGTGCGAAACTACTTTCATCCCACGGATTCAAATCTCAGTTTGACAGTTTAACAGCTGAGCCCAAATCTCTGTTACTAATTCGAAAACGTCACTTCAGAACTAGTAACGAAGGAAAGTTAAGTTGCTTCATTAAATACTTATTTTATTACTGTATTAACAGCTCACTGTATTATGTAGAGTATTATGAGAGGGAGATGGACTGAGCGAGTGTGATTACCTGCATCTGATACAGCATTCATTCTTCAGCTCAATCTCATATTCACAATAAAACATTAGTTTCAATATCCGCTGAGGAAAGCGATATCTTTGTCATACTCTCATCTGTTTAGGGTGATTTCCGATGACAGTGTTGCTCAGTGCATTTGTTTGTTGTCTTACAAGGCGTTGTTGAAAGTAAAAATAACTTCCTTGTTTACTACCCTGTTTCAGTGTCCTTCAATATAAAAGTCTTTACTACTGACTCACAGTCGCCATCTAATGGCGGAATAATGTAACTAAAATCACCATCACAAACACACATGGTTTCTCAATACTAAATGCTATTAAATACTACTAGTATTATTTATATAAAATATTATTTATTGAATAATAATATTTAATAACAACAGCCATCATAAAAGTCATAAAAGTTGCTAAGCAATTCAGTTAAAAGTACAAAGGCAGCGCTCTGATATCCATTATTAGAGTTATATAAAATAGTAAATAGTCTAAAACTTTAGACTTTGCTCTCAGCCAAAACTATTGCTCTGGAACAAATAATATATAAGTCTATTACTATAGAGACATCAGAGCCAGTGGCAAATTCAGGAAGATCTGGCCGAAGTGAGGCTGCTCTCGGCAGGTTCATGAGCACTGAATGGCTGCTGACGCCCTGGAGCTCACATCTCTGAAAACGCAGAAGCTAATTTTCAAATATACGTTATCTTTACAGGGCTCTATACTGCGACCAAAATGGTCGTATTTGCGACAATTTTTTGAGAATGTGCGAGTTAAAATTTGACGTGGTCGCATTTGTGCAAGTGCACGGTCTGCGCTGCTCCGAAGTGTCTGCTACATACAGCGCGCATTGCAGAGCCGTGGCACATTGTAGCAGGAGTCAGAATTCACTGATCACGTGAAGAGAGGTGCATTCAGTTTGAGTGCTTCAGGTGTAGACCCTGGTTTAAACTCACCGCGTCAGCACGAGCTCGAAGGTGTGCGCTGCGCGCGGTAAAAATGAGGCGAATACTGAGGAAATGATGGGAGACGGAGGATTTGGTTTTCAAGCTCAAGTAAAGTAAAAGACATGAACATGTTGGTATTCTTGTGGAAAAAAACATGCAAGTCCTGTCACTGACAGCCAGTTTAGTTTTACTTTTCTTTTTGTTTTTGTTTTGAAAAGCTTGTTATCTTTGCTGATTACCTCACGTTACGCTATGGAGGCTTTCTTTAATTTTAAATTTTAAATTTTTTTGATTCCTCAGTGTTTGCTAAACATTCTGTAATTTATTAGTCATTATATAATACAGCATGTGGTGTATACCATGCCTCATCTGACTAGTTTTTGTTAATAAACGTTATGTAAGCTAGTTTGTCATTGTAGCCTACTGTTTTATTGTTGTTGTGCTTTTTAATTAAGAATAACAATGAATCCATCTTTTGTTTTAGTCTTAAAAAGTGAAAGGTGTATAGATATAACTTATATAAGCAAATATGTATATATATTATTATTATTATTATATAAGCAAAACAGACAATTATCTTTTCTTGCAAAACGTAACACTAAGATCGCAAATTCGATTCGCTTATAACACAGCACAAGAGGAATTTCTGTTCACAAAATTCAAATCACAAATAATAATTTTGAAAAAGAACGAGTTGAATGTTGAACACTTGGGTTACCATACACTATGATAAAAGTTCATCAGCATGCATTGATTAAAAGGTGAAATGGTTGGAGTTCTGTTATCACTAGATTATCACACTGCTGGAGAAGACTGTCAGACAATCATATTCGAGAACCAGAAAGAACTGTTGTATCTATATCTGTATCTCTCTGTCTGTCTATACACACCACACACACACACACACACACACACACACAGCATTTATTCATTTATGTCAAATTTTATAAATTTTTGTTCCTCAGAAGAAAGAAAGTCGTATGTGTTTATACAACATGAGTGAGTGTGGGGGTTCTAGTTGATTTGTACTCGCTAGTCTCCTCTCAAACAAGTATTAGCCAAAACTCACAAACAAAAATTAACAGTCAATGCACACTTTGACTGATGCTGCAGTCAAGATGTCTTGTTCATCTGTCAGTCAAACAGCAGTGCTTTTGCCCCCGTCAACTCGAGGCCACAGTTAGCCACAACTCCAATCTGCAGTCGAAATTCTTTTGTTCTCACCTGTTATTTTAAAACAAAATAACTCCCACTTCACACGGTGCTGCCGTCTGCTTCCTTAGTCTGTCATTTGTCTCATTCTGACAGGAGCTGAAGAAAAGCCAGACAGAAAAACAGGCAGCTTCAGAAGTCAGTCAGGCATAGCCACAAGGTCCCCTTGTTCAGTTCGGTGCAATGTATCGCCAAAGTGCAGCATCTCAGACGCCCGTCCATATTTTATTCAGAGTGCAGCTTTTGTGAGGGGATTGTGTCTAATACTCGCTGATCCAGGGGAACCTGAGACGTTTCTGAGAGATTAGAGATGCAAATTAGAAATGAGCAGCCCGGCTGATGTCTTGTAGCCACAGTGCCAAGTTGGTGATAATGGTAAAATATTGAAATGGGGGCAGTGCAGCTTGTTAGATCCCATAGATCAGGTCGGCTGGGACTCGTCACGGAAAAAGTGCTTTGAAAATTCATTTCATCAAGGGTCTGACTTTGTTTTGCTCTGTGCTAAATACTTGGCACTTTGTGAACCTAAAAATAGTAGGTGAGACCAGCTCACACAATTTTCGTAACCCAACTAGGTGCAAATGAAAGTGTAAGTGCTTTTGTAAAGCGTACACAAAATAAAATACATTTTTTAATGAATGACAAAAGTTGTTCAACTGTTCCAACAAACTCCTAAATGGAAAATAATAATAATAATAATATTTAAAATGTTTTTAAATTTGTATTTAGAAAAACTGTATTTAGATATATAAATATATTAAAAAGTATATAATATATAATTAATAAAAATGATACATTATTTACTTAGCAAAAAAATGTATCATAAAATATTATTTATTTATAATTTTACATATATTATTCATAATTATGATGATTATTATTACCTTTTTTAAATAATTGTTTATATAACGGGTTTAAGCCTTTTTAATTCATTAAATAACGACTAGGGAAACGTTCCCTCTCACACTCTTTTCATAAATTTTGTTTGTCAGGTTGTATAGGTTGTATAATTTATTGCAGGCTCCAAAATGTATTTAACTATTTAAATATTTGTTTTGATACAGAAAAAAAAATTATAATAATTGAAGGAAAAAATTGAAGGAAAAGTTACTTTCAAATCAGCATATTAAATCTGTGTGGCTCAAAAGGGCAAACATTCAGATGTTATTTCTCCTAATACAAATCTTTACCAGAAATTTACTCTTTGTCTGCCAACTCTTCTAGCCAACCAACACATTTCCCCTAATCATAAGCAAACACTTTACTGAGAAGACGTACCACAAAGCCAAACTAACTGTCGGATAACTTTAACAACCTCATAGTGTCCTGGCAGAATCATATGAACAGTCATGGCATTTTCTGTTTTGCTTAATTTTTTTTTAGACTGTAAAAACACAATGAATCAGAAACCACTCGTCATAGCAGCTTCATTTTCACACCATTTCCAGGAAATCGTTTATGAATTCACACCTTTCAGTAATTATTTATTGTCAAAGGTTTTGTTCTTTCACCTCATTGATCGTCATTCCAGCTCTCCGCAGGTACTGGCATAATGTTTCAACAAAATATATCTCTCTGGCAAATGCAAATCACTCTGTCAGGATGCAAGTTCCTGTAAAATCCATCACTTTTTGGCATCCCAGAGTCCGTGAAGTGGTGTAAATCCTGCTCCTGGCATGAGACAGTAACATCTATGTTTATGACTCTTGATTCAGGTCGAGCCATTAAGCATGTGAAGGAGGCCATCTTTGCTGAGGACGCGGGCGTAAGGAGGGGCATTCCTAAAGTGCTGGTGGTGCTCACGGATGGGCGATCTCAAGATGATGTCAACAAGATCTCTAAGGAGATGCAGATGGAAGGTGAGCGATTTCATTTTCACGTTGTATGAATCTAAAAATGAGCATAATAAACAGCAGCTGTAGAAAAACACTGAGTGTCTAGTGGTTTGGTTGTTAAAAATAGAACTTTAAATGCTGTAATAAAAGTAATGCTTTCTTGTTTCACCGTAGGCTACATTATCTTTGCCATTGGCTTCGCTGATGCTGACTACGGGGAGCTGGTGAACATTGCCAGCAAACCAAGCGAGAGACATGTGTTCTTTGTGGACGATCTGGATGCCTTCAAGAAAATTGAAGAACAGCTCATAACTTTTGTTTGTGAGGCTGCGACTGCCAGTACGTCCCTTTGAGAATCCACAGAAACTTCCTCTTGCAGTTTGCTGTGACATGTGGTAGAGAACTTGCTAGCTTTAATATGCTTAGACGTGCTACACAATAAGAATATCAAGGACACCAATTGTCATTGAATTTTTTATTAAGTGACATTCTTGTGCTAGAAGATAAAGTCCCTGATTTAACAGAACAGTGTCTGTATTTGAGAATAGCTAGGATGACATATTGACCAATCAGAAACCAGAACCAGAACTGTCTTGTACAAGTAATGTTATACTTTCAAGACATTTTATTGTGTTTGAAACACTCATTTCCAATAATCATGTTTACTATCGACATATACTAATGATGACAAGTCAAGTCAGTTTTAGACCAATCAAATTATAAACTGTTGAATCAAAAGTATTTGTGGCTTGTTGCTGGCCAGACTACATTAAATAAATGCATTCAACTGTCCCAGTTTTGAGAGCAGCACCCAGATCTCAAAATCCACGATCAATACATAGAACCAAGTTCAAGCGCATTTTTTTCTTTGTCGATAATGTTACACTTGAATGTATGTCACAGTATGGAAGAAAAGATCTGTCGCTACTTACATTTGATTGCAACTTTAAGATTAATTATACTGTCAAAAAAAAAAATCAGAAGTTGATGGAACAAATGGGTTTTAAAATGATGAAATGAGGTTGCTATCTCAGTATGTTAGTATGTCACAATGCTGTGGATAACATTAATTATTCAATTACATCAAACGTATTTTTTAAATAATGCCCACTAAACAGTACGATTGACCAGTGTCCTTGGCATGTTTGCTAGTCAACATTTGAAGATAGGTAAGCAACGACTTGCGATATGATGAATAAAGTTTGAAGACTTTTTAGATGGCAGGGTAATTACTTTTGGATTACTTTAAGTTCTTTGCTCTTTTGTTCTCTTAAGTCATCCCTTGTGAGTTTACGTCAAGTCTAAAATAAAAGTTTGAAGTTTGAAAATGGTCTCTGAACAGAAAAAAATATTTGAATGCATCATGTAACCTATAATTTCCAAAAATCACTTTGTTCTTGGGGAATTGATAGGTTTTACACTCTGTTCTATTTTCTTTTACAGCTTGCCCCTCGATGTTAATGAGCGGGAACACTTTAGCAGGTAAGACAACAATAAATGCTCCTGGTTCACACTAACCTCTCCATCATTGTGCTGGGTAGGAGGATAGGATCTAAGGCTTTATTTGAAGAATTAGATATATTCATCCTCTGTCAGTATTTAACAACCCCTTTACTTAATTAGGAGCCGTGGGTCATGTTATTCACACCATAATCTAGATCTGGAAGAAAGAAAAAAAAAACACTTAATTTTCCTTTTCACACGGCCTGTCTTTCACTAGATGGACAAACATACTGTTGCTTGAGCCATTGTTGCTTGTTCAATCAAGTTTTTGCCATAGCTACTGTTTACACTTTTTGGGGAAATTATAAGCTTTTTTTTTAATGATAAATATTTATGAAATTTTTTATTTTGTATGATATAATAATATATTCATATGTAATATATTTGTAATATTTATAATCTAATGTATAATATAGAAATCTGCCATAGGAAAGTCTTTTAACATTATTAAGACATCGAAATGCAGGCCACTGAATGAATCACTCTTTCTCATTTCAAATTTTTTAAAATTTATTAATTTCCTAAAATTTGATGTACATACACTACTCACTAAAAGTTTGAGGTCAGTAAGATTTTTATTTATCTTTTATTATTATTATTAAGATTTTTATTTATTTTAAGAATTGTATTTATTTATTTTAGTCAGTAAGGATGAATTAAATTGTCCAAAAGTGACAAGAACGTAGTTTTTTTTTAAATATTGTTAAAATATTTTTTCTCAAATAAATTTCTATTCACCAAAGAATCCTCAGAAAATATTTCATGGTTTGGACAAAAATATTTAGCTGCTGTTTTCCAGCTATTTTAAATTTTGATAATAATGTTTCTTGAGCACCAAATCAGCATATTAGAATGATTTCTGGAGGATCATGTGACACTGCTGAAATTTCAGCTTTGCCATTACAGGAATAAATTATGTTCTAAAACATATCAAAATAGAAAACTGTTATATTAAATTTCAATAATATTTTACAATATTACTGTTGTTTTTACACTGTATTTTTGATCAAACAAATGCAGCCTTGGTGAGCATAACAGACTTTTTTCAAAAACACTTTAGTATAGGGACCAATTCTTACTATTATCTACAGTAGTTGCTTATTAGCATGCCTATTATTAACGTATAGGCGGTTTATCAGTACTTATAAAGTGCACGTTCTGCAAGACCACATTCTACATCCCTAATACAGTACCTAAACTTAACAACTACCTTACTAATTATTAATGAGCAGCAAACTAGGAGTTTATTGAGGCAAAGTCGTAGTTAATGATTTGTTAATTGCGAGAACTGGACATTAAAATAAAGTCTGATAAAAAAATCGTACCGACCTCAAAACGTTAACCGGTACTGTTTCGTTAGAATAGCATACTTCACATTTATCCGTTGTCCTTTGCAGGCTTCCGTATGATGGAGATGTTTGGTTTGGTGGAGAAGCACTACAGCAGCGTGCAAGGTGTCTCACTGGAGCCTGGGACTTTCAACAGCTACCCCTGCTATCGGTTGCACAAGGACGCCCTCGTCTCTCAGCCTACCAGGTGTGTGTGTGTGTGTGTGTGTGTGTGTGTGTGAACTGTGTTTCTGTATGTATGAAAGCGTACCAGCACGCTCAACTGAAACTCTCTGAAATGAGAAAAATCTGTGTTAGCTGAAATATGTCACCTGTCAAATCAAAACCACAATACAGATCAAGTTAATGGAATCTAAATGAAGTGGTTTTAGTGAGCAGGAACCGATTAGCCCCACACTTAAATGCAAAATAAAGCGCGATCGGCCTTCTGTGCCTGATCCCAGAGCACTGACCCTCCTCCTCCTGTCTAGCATGCGATAATATTTAGATTAGGCTTCACTTTCCTGCACTCAGGGGGAATGTTGTTATTACAGTGGAGGGTTTCAGCGCGAGGGTCTCCACTCCTGTAAATCTCGCACACCACAGCCTCGCTTTAACTCGCACTCAGGCAGCTGGGAATTACTACAACACTGTTATTATGATAATCTCATCTGTGATTATGAGAAAGGCCAAAGACTCACAAGGTAATGGCAGCGCTCTGGATGCAGTTCACATTTGTTCTTCAGAGGAGAGTGCTCGTGTAGTAGAAGATCTGTTTTACTGGTTGTGCAGTTTCTTTTTGCAGTATTCAACCATTTAATGTAATATTGATCAGTGTTTATTTTAGTTATTTGTTTTGTTTTATTACATTTTAGTGCCATTGTTGTGTTATATTTCACACTGATTTGTCTGATTAATTTGTCCGATGTGGGTTGCATTGGAATGGCTCAAGGGAGATAAGAAATATCAATATATTTGACATGTTTTTTGCTCGTGTTGTGAAGTTATAAGAGTGGTGTATCTGTATTTTAATTTTCTTAACTCTCTAAAAATTTAATAAATAAATAAACTAAAAAACGACTGTCACAATATGAATGTCAAGACTTTCAAAAAACAAGTCATCAACAAGTTCTCAAATAGTCTGATGCCTCACAAATTTAGATCTAAAAATTGTTAACAATTTTTTTGTACCAAAACTATTCACATAAGTCTGATGCCAAATTTGAATTAATCAAATAAACTAAATGTGGCACAATTGTTCAGTACAGACCCTATACATGACATGCAGAAAAAAATAGTCTTATTCATTTGTTGCCACATTTGATTATTTAGTTCTGTTTTAGGTAAATTGTGGCCACGTTGTACTAATTCGTTCTGTGATTGAACTAATTCTTACAATGTGGCTAAACACTATTTATCTAAAATGAGGGAACAGAGTCTTAATTTGTGGCCATAATATCTTCCTCTTCCATGTTAACCTCTTTCCTTCCACATATCATGTGTGGGGCTATTCAAAACCTCAAAAAAAAAAAAAAAAAAAAAACTTTAAAAAGTGACCGATCATTTCAGTTCATTATTTCAAACTTGATGTGAAGGAGTTTGCATATGTATGATTTATGTTGACAGGTATCTACATCCTGAAGGCCTTCCCTCTGACTACACTATATCTATGCTGTTCCGCATACTGCCTGAAACTCCTCAGGAACCTTTTGCATTGTGGGAAATCCTTGACAAAAACAATGAGCCACTTGTGGGCATTATCCTGGATAGTGAGTATTAATGTTTTTGATTTGCTTTATGCCCCTATGCAGGCCTAACATAAAATCTTTCATTCATTAATTTTCATTCATCTTAATAAAAAAACGAATAAAATAAAAATAATGGCTTAATAATGATTTAAATTATTTAAAAATGTTCTACAATAACATATATTTTTCCTTTTGATCAATTATATGTTCATCAAACAGTGGTTCTCAACTGGTGGGTTGTAACCCAAAAATGGGATGCAAACAGAAACACTCCTAACTAACCATATAATCATGAAAAGTTAAAAAAACATGGGATGATCTGCTTTTATAAGGTTGCAGAAAACACATTGCATTTTATTTGTTGTAGGTGTCAAAAGCTGTGTGTCTAATAAACTGTGTGGTTCCTTGGCAAAAAAATTATGCAGATACCAGTGTATTCTTAAACCATGTAAATTACACAAGGTAAAAGAAAATGCAACCAAGACTGCATTCACGTATGTAAACATGGAATAAACATGGTTTGTGTTGACCAAAATGCATTTTCATACATGTAAAATCTTAGTCCTGAAACAAAACCAGTCGAGAACCACTGACTTAAACGATCTAAAACCCTTGTGTCTAATTTTTATTTGTCTCTCTTCAGACGGAGGGAAAACATTAACCTTTTTCAATTACGACTACAAGGGAGAATTTCAAACAGTGACTTTCGAAGGAAGTGAAATTAAGAAGATTTTCTATGGTAGTTTCCATAAGGTCAGTCTTTCTTCTATTTATGATCCAGCTATGACTATGATTACAGAAACTATACAGTCATTTGTGTTTCAGTCTCATGGTTGAGGTTTTCTCTTTCTTGTCAGGAAAGTCATGATTTAAGCTGGACTTTGGAAATGCTTGAATTATAGTAACCAAAGTTTATGTTAATTCATACTATGACCATTCATGCACCAAATGACCAAATACAGCTGAATACACTAATTTTCCTTTATAAAGTTACCTCATTTTCTTTATAGTTTTGCCTTAACTGTCAGAACCGAATATCGCTGATGTTTTTAGTATATTTTAGCTGTCTGTTTTGCCTCATTCTCACCTGATTATGTACAAGTTTGGACACAAGAGAATTTTGTGTCACATGAAATTGAAGTTTTTTCCATTTACAGTAGATTCATAATGTTTAAACAGCTATTTGGTTTGTTACTGTAATAAATATATAGTTCAGTCATGAAACTCTAGATGGCGCATTCTGACGGGGTGTTAACGTAACTGATGATATTCAGAGAGTTAAACGACTTGGCACAAGCTGATTGGTTCATGCTGCATATGCAGCCAATGAGCTTACTGCCTTGCATTTATATGGCTGGCTAGCATTCACTTGAGATTCCTGCAGTGCGCTTCCAGAGTTTTCTGAATCCCTCCACCTTCCCCAGCTCCACCTGTATAGATCTGCTACGGGTTATTTTATATGCTATTTGTGTAGCAGCAGTATGTCTTAAAGTGGTCATATGATGCTGCTAAAAAGAACATTATTTTGTGTATTTGGTGTTATGAAATGTGTTTATGCGGTTTAAAGTAAAAAAAAACACATTATTTTCCACATACTGTACATTATTGTTTCTCCTCTATGCCCCGCCTTTTTGAAACGCGTCGATTTTTACAAAGCTCATCGGTCTGAAAAAGCGAGGTGTGCTGTGATTGGCCAGCTATCCAGTGCGTTGTGATTGGCCGAATACCTCAAGCGTGAGACGGAAATGTTACACCCCTCACCATACTGTTGATGCCGTGGCCGGCCGGAGCGACGAGACATAAACACTAAAACCCATTACAAACGAGGCATTTGTTGCATCCAGTGGGGACATAATTACTGATTATAATGACTGTCTTTTTACGCGTTGCGTTGCATCGCGCCGCGTAAACATAAAACCATGTCTGCATTTGTGATCGGAGAAATGACAAACAACAAGGCCGGCTCAAATGCCCAAAACTCGCGTTTGAATCATCAGTGGCAAATCCTTTAAATGAAAACGTACTTACAGAATGTGAGTCAGAACTGCCGGCATTGTAGTCAACTCTCCCAGGATCAGTAATATATATATATATATATATATATAGTTCAGTCATGAAACTCTAGATGGCGCATTCTGACGGGGTGTTAACGTAACTGATGCTATTCAGAGAGTTAAACGACTTGGCACAATCTGATTGGTTCATGCTGCATATGCAGCCAATGAGCTTACTGCCTTGCATTTATATGGCTGGCTAGCATTCACTTGAGATTCCTGCAGCGCGCTTTCAGAGTTTCTCTGAAACCCTCCACCTTCCCCAGCTCCACCTGTATAGATCTGCTACGGGGTTATTTTATATGCTATTTGTGCAGCAGCAGTATGTCTTAAATACTCAAGGCACCGTATCACCATATGCACTGGCAGCTTGCAGCAGCAGCAATAATCTACAACTACAGCAATAACCAACAGCAGCAGCAATTCAGCAGCAGCGTAGCAGATCTATTCCGCCAAGACCAAATACATTAACATTGTCATATCCATCACCATGCTAAAATCTTCCGAGAGTTGTCATGATTGAATTACGCTTTCTGACCTTCAGATTTCATCTTTGCATTTTAAATTCTTTACATTTTGTTCAATCTGCCAATTATTGTTTGATCTCACACATCCTTTTGGGGGAAAAACATAGTAGGCTTTAAAATACACTATTATATTAACTTAATTTCAGCTAAATGAATTAAAATAAAGTAAAAACTAAATGACAAAAATATAATGTATTCACACATGTACCCGTTTTAAACACAACAAACGTGTCAGCTGTCAGCCATGTTTCTAAAATGTACACCGGGGAATTTCAATTATTATTTCACCCAGGGCATGCACTACAGAGTCCTGACAGTATGAAAATGGCTTATGATAGCCCTGTCCTGTTCATTTTCTGTATTCTTTCTTCACATCCGTGCTGGTGAAGAGCTCTCTATCACTCTTCCGCCCTCCAGTAGTTTTGAGAGGCTGTCTGATGTATTCCAAGGCTCTGTGTGTTGCTTGTCTGGTTATAATTCCCTTTTCCTGCCAAGTGTGTTCTACCTTTGAGTGCATGACAAGCCACCCGCAGCCTTTGATGCAGTGGCGTGTGTGTTTATGAGCGAGTATTCTCCCGACATCACTTATGATGTGTTTGTAGGGTAATCCCTCTTGGCAGAGCTCGTCAAGATTAGAGTCTGTGAGTAAAACAGATTACTTCAGCACCGTCTCCGCTACGGATCCTGAATTAATAAATGAATCTCTGCCTGTCTCATCTAAATGGTGGCGAATAAGCAGAATTTAGACACCTTCATTGAAGAATTTTCTTTTTTTATTGCTCGTTCAATAGTTTTCTGAAGACAACTTTTATACTTTTATGTGGATCATTCTCAAATTCTGATGACAAACATGTCTCTTGACTTTTCAAGAAACTCCATATTATTAATATAAGATTAACTGAATTTGTCAGATTCCTGAAAAATCCTTGTCCCTTTCATCTGCTATACCACTTGTATGACATTATAAGTTAGCATTATACCATTATAAGTCTCATTTTTAAACTTTAGTTAAACTTTACTATTAATTTTATAAACCTGTATTTTGATAATACAAAAACATTCTAGAAAAGTTCTTTCAGGTTCAATGTATGAGCCTAAATATGCATATAGTGAATTTTTATGAGATTATTCATAATCATGTTAATTTGTGGTTAATTTGTAATTGAACTAAATTACTGAATTAAAATAAATGATTTTTTGAACTACAGTAATTAATTTTATTAATTACATTATTATTTATTTACATCTTTTTATTTAAAAAATGTTACTTGTAATTTTATATTTTAATGTAAAAATACATTTGTAAAAAAATATTGGTTATTTTAAAGGTGCCATTACACAAAATGATGGGTTAAAAACAACCAAAGTTGGGTTAAATATGGACAAAGCCAGTGATTGGGTTGTTTTGACCCAGCAGTTGGGTTAAATGTTTAACCAACCTGCTGGGTAGCTTTATTTAACTTAACTGTTTAAATATATAAATATATATGTCTGGCTTAAAATGAACCCAAAATAAGTTGGAAATTTTAAATCAGACACTTAATTACTAGAGGCATAGGTAATAATCAAAAGGTGAACATTTATTAATAAGCAATTTAATAAATGTTTTTTTAATTATTATTTAATTATTATTTATTAAACATATTGCTAAATGTTCATTTATTAAACATATTAATAAATGTTAATTTCCAACTTACTTTGGGTTCATTTTAAGCAAGAAATATAGTAATTTTGAGTTAAATAAAACTACCCAGCTTGGTCAAACATTTAACTCAAACCGCTGGGTCAAAACAACCCAATTGCTGGGTTTTTCCATATCACTGTTACTTGTTTTTAATTGTACTGTTACACTGCTTAATGTTCTTTTGAAAGATTTTCAGTACAAAAAAGGACTTAATGTTGTAATTTAAGTATTTATTTTTGATTAATTAGTGTGTTTTTAGATGATACTGACACTTAGAATCTCAGAAATCTCTTTCTTTATTTGTTAAATAAAACAAGATAAAATTATTGAACAGATATCAAATGATCAATTATGATGTTTAATAATGTCAAAATAAACATTAAACATCACTTTTATGGGAGAAAACTGAATTAAAACCAAAATTTCAGCAATCTGTAAATCAGAAAATCTCCATTATTTGAGAATGACACAAATATGAAAAATAAACACAAACCGTGTTTAACAGAGCGACGAATGCAAACTAAGACACGCTACATTAATTTATCTCTATTTGCATTTAAGTATATTATATAAACTAATATAATCTGCTTTATAGAGCGCCGCAACAGCATTGAATTGGCACGGTTTCATTTTGTAGTTGCTAATGAGCTCCGTATTCGGCGCTTGTGGCTAAAGCTGAGAGTTTATCTGGCTACAGCTGAATCTGATTTCCACAATGTAAACCCTTTTTGCACGGCAGTCACTGTCCTCAATACCACTGACCCCAAGTAACGCACAGTTGGCTTCAGTTGTTATGAAGGCTTTTAAACAAAGCCCCTGACTTGGAAGAGCTCAGAGGGTCTAGGACTCTTGTCGGCCCTCTATTAAAAATGCCTCGTTCCTCTCAACCATGACTTATTCCACACTTTCTAAAACCAAGTACTCAACGGTTGCGATTTTGTAAGGTCATGAGAGTAAGTCATGTGGATGCTGCTACGCTTCAGATACATGCTCATCTTATGGAAGTTATTTGGTAGTGTTCTGTACTTTTATGCTCTTGTGTGCATTTAGAATCAAGGTTAGAACAGTGTGGAATACATTTGGAGGAAGTGCTGACACAAGCAGTTTCAAACTGAGTGAAACATTGCTACTCTGACAACACTTGTTCATAAACAGCATACGTCATGAAGAAATATAAAGATACATGTGATAAATAATGTGTAATCACATTCATAATGTTCTTTTGTCACATGCTAGCTTTGTAGATGTTTCTACATCTACAACAAGAACTGATTCATTCATCCATCCATCCATGGATTTTACTATAATATGATACATTGTTTGTTTTGAGATTGTATTGACACATCTAATAATAATAATAATTATTATTATTATTGTTGTTGTTGTTATTTCCGAAATTTGTCATTGGTGTTATTATCTTTCTATTACTATCCTACTGTACTATTATCATCCTTAAATCCAATTCAAGTTCGTAAAGTCAAATTATCCTTCATTTTAAGTAATAATGGTAATGAATACTTGCCATCAGCTTTCATTGAGGGGAAAAAAACTTAACTGAATTCAAAACTTCAAAAAACAAGCAAACAACAAAAAAAAACCAATCAACTTAGTATCAAAAAGACTATTTTGTTAACCAGCAAAAACCAAAGCAGCATAAAAACTAATAATAATTTTATGGCTGAAGAGGCTGGTTTCCACTGATATAATAAATACTAACAAATGGTGACACTTTAAACATTCTAAAGTTGGTTGTTTGGATTTAGACAGGTGCAGGAGGACTTAGTGATCTAGAACATAAGTTATTTTCACACTGTCCCAATCACCAACATGCACACAGATCCAGCAAAACCCAACAACCGCTGTTTGTTGCCATATGTTTGGGCAGTGTGAAGTAGAAAAGAACATCAGACTGTAAATATGCCATCACTGTGAATAAGTATCCTAATAAAGTCGTACTCGTATCCAAATATTAATCCCCCCAGAAGCATTGGTATAATAATTTCCTTATTTTGGTATGAATTAGCTGGACCAATGTGAAGTTGTGTTTTGTTTGTTTTTGTTTTGCCTTGTTTTGTTTTGCTTTGTTTCGTTTCGTTTCATTTTGTCGTTTTTTTGTTGTTGTCAGATTTTAATTGTTATTTGAAGCACGTTATTTAAATGTGATCTTGACAAACGATTAAACAGATTTCGCTTTGTCACAATTCAAGTAGATAGGACTGTACTTGCAGAACTTGAAAAAGCTGCCCAGGGGCGTTATGAGTATGGCCGTCAAATGAACTGAAGGGGCTTTGTCTCTAATGCTTGCCTGGGTCTGTCCCTTAGGCCATAAAAAGAGAGACTCCACTGATCTGCCAATGATACAAAGTTGAGGAAAGACAAAATAGACAAGCAAACCCTGGGAAAAACGTTTTCTTAAGCAGTTTTCTTTGTCTTGTGTTGTTTAATTGTATTATGAAACTATTATATTATATGATATTAAATTATATACGTACATTACATTATATTATATTATTATTAAATATTAAATTATTAAAAAAGTATTATTAAATAATGCACACAAACACACATACCCACACACATAAAAGCATAAACCATACTAACCTGCTAGTAATACCATAGAAGCCAAAAATACAGATTAACAAACAATCACTGTATGTTTGAAATGGGGACAGCCTGCTGTGTGAAATGAGCCAGTTCATCATGTTGGAAACAGAATTATCCTGAAACTGATCAGGAGGCAGATGTGACCATCAGCAGCCACTCCTGCTTAGAAGATCATTATTACACACCAGCAGACCAGTTCAGACACACTCATAAACACTCTCAGCCCCACTGTCAGGTTAAACACATGCAGCACATGGACCCGTCCCTGCCTAAACGGCATGTCACTGATGCAGCTGCACAATCTAATTGGCTTTCGCTGCAGAAACACCTGCCGCTCAGAAAATGGAAGGTGATATTGAGTATGAAAATCCATATTTGCCAAAACACAAGCGTAGCACCTCACAGACTTAACCAAATTTCATCTGTCTCAGCCTGTTTTTTTTGTACCCTGATAGAGAAGTTTAATTTCTGAGCATTAAACAGCCTCCCTTCATAATGCTTTATAATTGACGTTGATGTGAGATTTCATAATAATGAGCTTGGTCTGAGTCTGCTATCAGCCCGCCTGTCTGACAGCACACTCGCACTTACAATTGCATTTAGTGAACTGGAGAAAATTGAGTTTTAGACCCCAAATCCATTAACAGGCGATGTGTGCTGTCTCATACTGAAATATACTCTGACATGCAAATATGAACTTTTGCTAGCTCTGTATTAGCTTGTTCTGTTTGAGTTTTGGCGGTTGTTATGGACAATTACAGTTCTCTCATCTGATTGACAATAAATCAGGAGAGACACTGAATGTAGACACGGCAAGGTTGATTTGGTTTTCACTGGTGTGCATTAGTGAACTTAAATGTTTCTGTAAAAGAGTTTCATAAGTTGAGTTAATGAGTAAACATAAGTTCCATTAGTTAACTAGTTAACATAAACAAACAATGAAAAACACTTCTAAAGCATTTATTAATCTTAGTTAATGTTGATTCCAACATTTAGTAATACAAATAAAATCAAAAGTTATTTAATGTAATGTAATGGACCTGAGCTAACGTGAAATAACAATGAACAGTTGTATTTTTATTAAAGGGATAGTTCACCCAAAAATGAAAATGTGATGTTTATCTGCTTACCCCCAGGGCATCCAAGATGTAGGTGACTTTGTTTCTTCAGTAGAACACAAACGAAGATTTTTAACTCAAACCGTTGCAGTCTGTCAGTCTTATAATGGAGGTGAATGGGAATCACGGCTTTGAGAGTCAAAAAAACATACACAAGCAAAGCGAAATGAAACCCCGCGGCTCGTGACAATACCCTGATGTGTAAAGACACGAAAAGATCGGTCTGTGCAAGAAACTGAACAATATTTATATCGTTTTTTACCTCTGATACACCGCAATGTCCGAACTTTGCGGTGAATCAGAGGTAAAAAAAAACATATAAATACTGTTCAGTTTCTTGCACAGACCGATCGTTTCGTGTCTTTACACATCAATGTATCGTCACAAGCCGCAGGGTTTAATTTGGTTTTGTTTGTGTATGTTTTTTTTTTACTCTCAAAGCCGTGATTCCCATTCACTTCCATTATAAGACTGACAGACTGCAACGGTTTGAGTTAAAAATCTTCGTTTGTGTTCTACTGAAGAAACAAAGTCACCTACATCTTTGGATGCCCTGGGGGTAAGCAGATAAACATCACATTTTCATTTTTGGGTGAACTTTCCCTTTAGCAAACGTTAACAAAGATTAATACTGTAACAAATGTATTTCTTATTGTTTGTTAATGTTAGTTAATGCATTAAATATAGTTAACAAATGGAACCTTGTAAAGTGTTACCGAAAAATCTTTTGAAATTAAACTATTGTACTTATACATACTTTATATAATTATATAAAAAAGTATACATACTTTTAGACAAAACAGCATTTTTTTGTTGTTAATTGTGTTATTATATATCATATTTGATACATTAAGGTTTTATAGTTATTATAGTTATTGATCACCACTTTTTTGTATTTTGCATTACATTTAAAATATTTGAATAATTTCTGTTCATTTAGTTATTTTTTGTTCCTAGAGGAACATTAAGCTTTGTGGTGATCAAAATATATTATAAAATTCATAATAATGAATAACTTGAAATAAATATACATCAAACACCTAAAATATTTATAACACCTAAAAACTTTATAAAAATAAAAAAGTGCCTCAAATGTATGAAATATTATGCAGTCATTGCATACATAATAATTTTCAAATATCATTGATAATATTAAAGTTATTCTTGCAATTAATTTATAAAAATCAGAAAAGATTGTCCAGCTGTGCATCGTGACACAGAGGAAGACATTTTGGAAATGTTATTAGAAGTCTAGTGTTATGAAAATGCCAGTTTAGGTGTTATTCTGTTCCCTTCATAGTTCCATCACATATAACAAATATGCCTTGTATAATTTATTAGAAAATTTCTGCATCTTTTAATTCAAACAATAATACTAAATTAAATGAAAAAGTGTGGCAGGTGGAACATGTTCCATTCACTTTTTTGACCACTTTTTGAAAATCGTTGCAAAAATAGAAAAGTTTCTGTTCTAAACACAGAAAAGCTTATCCAATCCTTAATTCCTTATAATATCATTCACAAAATATTTTTGCACATGATTCATTTGATGGTCGAATGGTTGGGCAGTTTATTATCAGATCTAATGACTCAATACAATACATCTGTTGCAGCATATCTTGCTTAAATAATTATAATCTATCATTAAATGTTACGTTTTACTTTATATCTCACCCAGCTTCATGTGGCCATCAGCAAAACCGCTGCTAAAGTGGTGATTGACTGCAAAACGGTGGGAAAGAAATCCATCAACGCAGCAGGGAACATCACCATTGATGGAGTGGAGGTTCTGGGACGCATGGTCCGCTCACGTGGAAAGAAAGATAACTCAGCGCCGGTAAGACCACAGCCATTCAGCCTCAATCCTAAAAGATGAGATTTACCCAGGCCTGAAAGAATCATTTGAGCCCATAACAGGACCAGCTTTTGTCTCATAGAGACACAAAGAACTCAGTATACAAGTGGAGGAATGTTTCTGTGGAGTCTTTGTTTGGAGTCTGATAATTATTAAAGATGGTCTGAAACTCTGAGGGCTTTGAAAGCACAATCGTCGTCTCAGATTCACCCTTATAATGATTTTGTGGAATTCAAAGCATGGGCACTCAGTTTAAGATGGTAAATACAGACTTTATGCCTTTTGGTTTTTCCATCAGAATGTGTGGATCATTATGTCTAATTGTGTAGGAGTGCATCTGATTTTATTCTTCTCAGAGGCTGACGGCACAACTGATGAGACTAATTGTCTTTGTAATTATGCTGGTGGGGGTTGTAATGTGAGTTTGTACCATGCAAAAGTTTTAAAACTATTAGAATCAGTCATTCAGCCCAAACAAATAACCAGACACATCTCAAGCACGACTGTTAGTAAATGCATAAAGTTTCTGCTTATTTAGATTTTGTTCATCCTCAACAGTGATCCCCTGCAATTTGTTTAGACTTCATAAAATGTTTGTGTTGATAAGATTTATAATGCATCACAATTGCATTTGTTGTTAAATGAGTGAATGCTATTCAACAGCCTTGTATATTTGCTCTGTTTGTGTGTGTTTTTATGATCCTGTCCACAGTTTCAGCTCCAGATGTTTGACATAGTCTGCAGTACATCATGGGCCAGTCGGGATAAGTGCTGTGAGCTCCCAGGCTTGGTAAGACCCGACCAGTCGGTATTTTATACAATATATCCGTTTTATACAATCAGCAAGCTGAATAAGCCACACTCTAATCAGACAAAATAATGTTCTTTTTAGCAGCATCATATGACCCCTTTAATACTGCAGTTCTGTCACTGGTGAAACCCCAAATATCTTAACTACAATGTAAAACTCAAATATACAGTGATGACCAATCAGCACTCAATACTATCACCCACACTTAGTGTTCATAATTACTTTAGAATCGATTATTGCTGTACTAATTAGAGTAACAAGCCTTTAACCTTATCTGGGGACCATCATCGCCCTAGGCATCTTTCCACCACTTTTTGTCATAGCTAATATAAAATAGCTTTATGAAATAGCTTGTGGCAGAAATGTATCTAATAAAGGTCCAACAAACAAATGTGGTCCTGCTTCGGATATACATCCGCTGGCATACAACAAATTTGGTTTATTAAAATAAAGAGTTATGTAAGGGTGGATTTGAACCTCTAGGCCAGCAGCGCTGATCCACTGATTTATCCTCTTTGCCTCAAAATCTCTAGACTAATAGTGCACTGTTAAAAAAACAACAAAAAACTAGCAGCTGTGATTGCCAGAAATTCACTGTAAACGATAACGAGACAATGTTTTCATTATTACAGGATTCCTTTTTATTTTACAACTTATAAGCTTAACCGTATATTTGATTAAGAGATAATGTTCAAATATCAATCTATTTGAACTACCAAAAATATTGGTGTGGCATATGTAAAGACAAAGTTGTCAAATTAAAGTGATAGTTCACACAAAAATGAAAATTCTGTCATTAATTACTCACCCTCATTTTGTTCCAAACCCATAAGACCTTCATTCATCTTCGGAACACAAATTAAGATATTTTTGATGAAATCCAAGAGCTCTCTGACCCTGCACAGACAGCAACGCAACTGACACGTTCAAGGCCCAGAAAGGTAGTAAGGATATCGTTAAAATAGTCCATGTGACATCAGTGGTTCAACTGTAATTTTCTGAAGCTACAAGAATACCTTTTGTGTGCAAAGAAAAGAAAAATAGACTTTATTCGACAATTTCTTCTCTTCCGTGCCAGAATTCGATGCTCGTTCACAACAGTACCAAGACACATACGTTTGCATTCCTCTGATTGAAAACAAGGCGCAGGGCATGCAAGTTCTACATCAGTTCTTAACTGTCGTGAAGGCGCGTTGAAGACGCTTCATAAAATTAAGGTTGAACCACTGATGTCACATGGACTATTTTAACGATGTCCGAAAGCTCTCGGATTTCATCAAAAATATCTTAATTTGTGTTCCGAAGATGAATTAAGGTCTTACGGGTTTGGAACGACATGAGGGTGAGTAATGACAGAACTTTCATTTTTGGATGAACTATCCCTTTAGATGTTACAACATTTGGCTGTCCCAGCAAATTACTGTGTAATGAAAAAAAAAACCACCGTTAAAATGTCAAAATAGCAACTCATTGTGCAATGTTATTGTTAGCATTTCAGTGACTTGGAAATGAGTAAAGACCCCATAAAACAGTTAAATAACATTCATTGTATATGTAAAAAACAAAAGAAAACAAAACTTAATAATGTAAATAATATTGGAAAGCTAAATAAAAAAAAAGACTAGTCTAAAACAAAAAGCTAACAAAATGACCATAAGCAACCTTGTAATTAGCTATCATTATTTATTAAGGTTCTCTGCTGTGATGGCTAATTTTATGATTTTATAGTTGTATGTACTGCCAATATAGAGTACATCCGATGCCTTAGCGATATGACTCTTTTGTTCTCTTCCTGTATCATTTTGGATACTTATATAATGCTGAAAAAAATATTCTCTAATAAGTGATCTCAAACCGGCCATTCTGGCAGTCGTCCCTAACTTTAAAGATCCATGTCCACTCTACAAATAATTCAATTATGTAGTCTTGTAGCAGACAAATAGACTTGGTACTCCATGGATAGGACGAACAATATCTCCAGGTCGCTTGCTGTGTTTGTGCACTTGCGAATTAATGACTTGAGGGAATTGCACAGACATCCTTGGTTGACTTGGACAAATAAAGTTCTGTTAGTTTCCTAGAGAGGAAATAGTCCCGTGTTTGAAATGGTGTACGGCATGTTGTTTTGTTTGTGCTTCCATCAGAGAGTAGAAGAAGACTGTCCTGCCATGCCCCATGCCTGCACCTGTGCTCAGGACAGCAAAGGACCACCTGGACCCTCAGGACCACCGGTAAAACCACTGGTTTCACCTCTCACTAACGGCCAACCTTAGAATGTGATCTGTATTAAACTAGATGATAGAGGGGGTAGACCAGGGAGATTTGTAACACAGGGTTGCAACATCAAAAAATGTAACCAATTAGAAATGAGTACATGTACAAAAACATGATTTACAGGACAAAAAACTATTTTTAGATAAGTATATGGATAATATATAAAAATGTAAGAGACATAGCACAAAAAAACAGACTTACAGATGTCAATACTAGTCTTATGTACTTTAGCATAAAATCTAGCTCCTCAACTTTAGCATAACAGCTTGGTGACAGAGCTACTCCAAGTCGCTTTCATACCAGCATAAAAACTACTGTAGCTAATACACTTTAGTTGACAAAGTTGCTATTATACTTTAGCATTAGTGCTAGCTGACATACTTTAACTGACAAACTCGTTCTCAATATGTTTGAGAAAACATCTTTATAGATTGCGATGCAACAAAGACTGTAGGGATTTGTGACTTTCATATGGTCACATGACCATGATTAGTCTCCAGGAACATTCTAGGTTCAGGTGTCTTTCTCAAGAACGCAGAATCGTAAAGGATTCTTGAGGAGCCAGCAGCTTTTCAGTTTTTAGTCTGAAGCCTTAACCATATTGCCCTTTAGGGAAAAAACACAGAACGTGTTAAGAAGGAGCACGAAGATATTAAAGATATAAAATGAAACGGGACACTGCTTAAGAGATTGAGAAAAAGACCTAGCATTAGATTGCTCAATTCAGCCCATGCTGCAGGTTGAACTCAATATGGCGGGAACAAATAAATGAGCTCATTTGGAAGGCAGCATCGTATGCACCCTGAGGGAAAATGTATTTCTGAGGCCTCGAAAAGGCCATGGTGTATAAACAGCAGTTCTTTCGAGAAAGTCATTACGAGGAGATCAATTTATCAAAACAGATTAGTCCACTCCTGTCCTGTCTGCGTTTATAGATTCCTTCATCCATACAAACCCATTTCCATGACCAAGAGGTGGTTGCAAGGAAGACGATTGCATTTCAGTTTTGTATACATTATTCCTGCATCTTGATATTAATATTACTGTCATGTGTTCTAAAGTCTTTCCTATGATTACACCGGCTGCTCAAATGAATCGAAAATGTCCTGTTAAGTCATCACGTGCATCTTTCAAATGAATATTTATGCTTGCGTATTGTCAGCTTCCACCGTCACCTGCAGGTTTTATTAAGTGTGTTTTGAGCAAGCTCATGAATCAAATTTGCCCATAGCCTTCAGTGATAAGAACTACCTTATTGCGGCCATTGGGGATGCAATTAGAGTAAACACAGGAAAAGGAAGACGTGCAAACAGGGTTAAATTACTAGTGGTTGCCTGCAGCAGTGGGGGCAAGAGTTTATGAGGGTCATAAGCGGGTGGGATATGGTTTGAACCAGGTCAAGGATACTCTCTACCAAGGTGCAGGCAGATTCAATCTGATATTTTTGAACTAGCCAATTTTGCAGTATTTGAAGTCATCCTGAGGCCTCCTTGAACGTTTGCTGAAGGCCCCTAGTGGACTCCGCCCCCCTGGTTGATAACCACGGTAGAGTATTGTGCTATTAACTTAGCAACATACTAATGTCAAACTCTTGCTAGTTGAGTCTCATTTGTAGAGTGTTCTGAATTGGTCACTTATGAGGGTCCATGGCGGTTAGCACACTGCTTATGTAGGAAACAAGGCAGCTCACAATGCTTTGGAACAGAGCTAGCGACAGTGTTTAAAATTGCTTTTTTGACACATGCCCCAGCTCTGGTCATTAAGAAAATGTGTTTGCTTATTCTGAGTCTTTCAGTTTGTGTTTATCTAATTGTGTGTGTCTGACTCTCAGGGTGGTCCTGGTATCAGAGGTTCAAGAGGAGATCGGGGGGAGCCAGGCTTGACGGTAAAGTACACATATGCTTTATGTATCCCATATACAGGGCCACCCAGAGTTGTCATTATTTCCCAAAAGAATAGACCCCGGACAAGAACTCAAAATGTGGAAATACATACAATGCATGTGCCTCTGTGTTGTTTTTGGAGCATACAAGTGAGTAAATCTCACCCTCGCTCTGGATTTTCAGAGAGCTCGCTTTTTTTATTTGTGTCTCTCTGTCCAACTGTAGTTTCATGTACAGTAAAGTCCCTCCAGATGTGTGTGTCCATTCACAGAATACATCATGCTTCTGTCCAAATAAAGCCATGCTGTGGCAGACATAATTTCATTTCATGCTCCAAAGTTTTATGTAAACTTGGTCCAAATGACCGCCGCTAAGAAGTTTGTCACAAGCTAGACTGTGACGAGTGTCTTTTGCTTCCTTGATTATTGCATTCCTGATGGAGAAGGAGACTGCAGGGCATTCACACTTTGTTTCAGCAGCCCGGCTGATGGTAGGCCTGAAACGTTACGTAATTATATTGAGGAAATTAAACCGGCAATGAAACCATGATGATTTTATAATGAGGCTACATTTATTAAGATAATGTCCTAACTTTATGTTTAAGGGGCCTCAAGGGCCACCTGGTGAGATCGGACCTCCAGGACCGCAGGGGCCACCGGGTCCTCAGGGGCCGAATGGACTGTCCATTCAGGGGCCACCGGTAAGCTGAATACTGGATTTTTATGCAAAGTTTGTTTCTTTCTTTTTATTAATGTTGCCTTTTCTTTTTCAATTCCTCTCTCCTCAGGGGGCTCCAGGAGAAAAAGGAGAGAAGGGTGAAATAGGTCTGCCAGGTCCTCAGGTAAGGGAAAATATATCCCCCCGCCTGTCTCATCAGCACTTCACGACAGCTTCATAACACCCACGCGGTCTCTCATTAGCTAACCTCGTCTCTTCTGTCAGAGAGTTATAATTATCACAGTCCCATGAGTGTCTGTGTGTGTAGCTTGTGAGCGATAAGTCCTTCATGTGTGTCTATATGTGCTGCTTATCCTGAATTTAAGGAAATTGTTTAATATAAATCGATTAATACAAACAGATTGTGTCCTTCAGTTTTCAGCCTAATAGAATCAAGTTGTGCCTTTATGTATTACTCAACCTTCCTAAACTTAGTTTGAAAACTCACTTGTTAGTGGGTAGGGAGAAGTTTTAGAATTGAGATACGCTTCTGTGAAAATCAAAATATTTTTTTAAGGCGGCAGGAGGAATTGAGTTTTTTTTTAGAAATGACTTACAATTCTCGTGTTCAGTTTTCAACTGAACATTTGGCTGTAAATATAAAAAAAAAAACGAACCAAGTTTTAACTGGTTATTAAAAAATCTACTTTATACATTTTGATAGGTTAACACTCTGGGGTCGAAGACCGCACTGGTGCAGTCTGTCTTGTTTGTTTGGTCTTCTCAAAAAGAATTATGAATGACAAAAGAATTGTTTGTACAAAAAATAAATAGCACAAATATTAAGAAAAGCTTCAGAGGGAGGGTTTTTGCTCCCTTTGCCCATTGTATTGTAATTGAGGTATGAATATGAAGGGGTAATAGCAAAATTGAGATGAAAAAAAACAACATGTGAGAGGAGGCAGCGCTTCTATGTCACTGTGACGGGCAGATTTGTTGATCTGACCATGCGCAGATTCACAGAAATGTTGGGAGTATTGGTTGCTTGTTGATTGTCCCAAATGTAAGGTAATATGGTGTTCCATGTGGCTTTAACTGGGAAACATTTGTGAAAACATCAGCTGGGACATGACAAGTTTACATTTACTATTTACACTACTGTTTAAAGGTTTGTGGTCAGTAAATATAGCAAGGGATTTAGTGATCCGGATAGGGTTGGGAAGATCATTCCACCAGCAAGGAACAGTGAATGAACATGTTCTGGAAAAGGACTTTGTGCATTTCTGTGATGGTACAACAAGGTGCTGTTGACTTACCGACCTCAGGCTTCTGGAGGGGATGTAGACACATAAGACCGTGTGGAGGTTGGAAGGTGTGGAGCCCGTGGCTGTTCTTGATACAAGTATCAGTGTCTTGAACTTGATGTAAGCCACAACCGGTAGCCAGTGAAGAGAGATAAAGAGAGGTGTGACGTGGGCTCTCTTGGGCTCATTGAAGACTAGTTGTGCTGCTGGTTCTGAATCCTTTGTAGAGGTTTGATTGCAATGGATGGAAGTCCAGCCAGAAGAGCATTGAAATAGTCCATCCTAGAAGTGACAAGGGCCTGGACAAGAAGTTGTGCAGCATGCTTCATTAGGAAGGACCTGATCTTCCTGATATTGTGCAACGCAAACCTACTTGATCATGCTGTCTTTGAAGGACAGCTGGTCATTAAAGATTACCCCAAGATTTCTGACCAAATTTGATGAGATAATTGTTTGTGAACCTAGCTGGATGGTGTAATTGTGCTGTACAGCTGGAGTGCCAGGGAAAACAAGAAGGTCTGTCTTTGCTAAGTTGAGCTGGAGGTGATATTCTTTCATCCATGTCGAGATTGCCTGCCAGGCAGTCTGGGATTCGTGCAGCTATCTTTGAATCATCTCATTGAAATAAAAAAAGAAATAAATAAAGCTGTGTGTCATCAGCATAGCAATGGTAGGAGAATCCATGTGCCTATATAGTAGTCCCCAGTGCTGTAGTGTATATGGAGAAGAGAAGGGGTCCAAGAACTGATCCTTGAGGAACGACCCTGAGGGAACATCCCTCCAGGCAACCCTGAAAGGCCTATGAGGTATAGGATTCAAACCAGAGTAGAGTTTCTGTGTTACCCAGTGATGAGAGGGTGGACAGAGGGATCTGATGATTGACAATGTCAAAACGGCAGTTAGATCCAGAAAAATGAGAACTTTCACAATCTGCAAGGATCCAGTGACTGACATTAATGCAGTCTCATCCAAATGGCCACTTTTGAAGCCTGATTGGTTCTCATCCAGCCGTTTATTCGGTGGAAGAAAAGATGATACCTGGTTGAAAACAACTTGTTTATGTGTTTTTACAATAAATGGGAGGTGTTTAGTGTAGTTTTTAAGCAGTGGGGTTACCCGAACCTGCTTGAATGTGGTGGGAAAATGCCTGTGTGGAGAGCTGTTGATGTTGTGTGTGAGTGCTGGTAAGAGTGTAGGAGAAGTAGCTTGTAGAAGGTGTGAGGGAATGGGGACTATAGGGCATAGTTGAGGATGACTGAAGAGGAGAAGTTTTGATACTTCTGCCTCTGTGAGAAAATGAGGAGAGGAGATTGTTGGCTGTAGATGTGGTTGGTTACTGTGTGTGAAAACTGAAAAACTGACTGCTGATGATTCTAGATTTGTATTTGAAAAAATTGGCAAAATCATCAGCTGTTAAAGAGGTGGTGGGAAATGGCAGAGGGGGACAGAGGAGAGAGTTGAATGTTTTGAAGAGTTTGTGCGTAGCTGTTGATCTTGTTGTGAAAATATGAAGTTTTGGCAGTGTGGACCTTAACAGAAAAAAAAGAAAGCAGTGAATGATACATACTCAGGTCAGCTGGATTTGTGCCATTTTCTTCATGCATCCTTGAGTTTGGGCCAGTGTTCATGAAGAACATCAGACAATCTGGGGTTGAAGGGAGTAGAATGTGCTGGCCTAGAGGAGAGAGGACAGATATTGTCTAGACAATAAGTTAAAGTGGAGCATAAAGTGTCTGTGGCACTATTCGCATCCAGTGATGAGAATTGTGTGGGAGATTGAAGACAGGATGGCACAACTGAGGAATGGTGGGAAGGAGAAAGGGAGCAGGTTTTGTCTGAATGCAACTGGCAGAAGGGTTGGTGGCACACAAGAAGTAAGTTGTAAACCAAAAGTAGCGAAGAAATTATCATAAATGCGCAGAGGTTTCACCAAATGAGGTTGAGCTGTTTCCCTGACTTGTGAGTTCCTGTGGTGGTATGCCGTTTAAGATCAAATGAGGCTAGGAGAGAGTGGAATGTTGAATTTGAATGGGACTTTCTATTCATCAAAGAATCTTAAAAAATAAATCATGGTTTCCACAAAAATATTAAACAGCACAACAGTTTTCAAAAATGCTAATAAAAAAAATGGTTGAGCACCATTTCAGCATAATAGAATGATTTCTGAATTGAACACAATATTACTATTTTTGCTGTATTATTGATCAAATAGCTTAAGAGACTTCTTTCAAAAACATTAAAAAAATCTTACCGACCCCAAACATTTGAAACGTAGTGTACATTGGGAGACCAAACCCAGCTTCTCTTCCTACTCATTTCAGTCCACCACACACCTCTACATAATAATAAAGCACTTTGACATGAAAATTATCATATTAAGATCTTAGTTGAGGGAGAATCTAATGTGCCTTAACTCAAAAGACAATTCTAAGCAGGCAGGATGGAATTCATAGTTTTGCCTCAAGCAGATGTCTTAGACTTTTATGCTTCTAAAGCCTCTTTCACAAGCTTGTTAAATTTCTCCCTTTTCTGTGACAACCAACTGCTGGTTTTTAGATTTCTGCGGAAAGTGTCACCAAAAGGCTTCTAAAACATTCACAGTGACAGTTCCATTTGTTGAGGAATAGCTGTTTGATGTGAAGCCAATGACAACCACTCAGGAAAAATCCCTATAGAGTTCTCCAGGGTGACGAAAAGAACATCCTGGCTTTTCCAGTGGTCAAAGTACAAACACACACACACACACACACACCCACCCATACGTTCCTCAGTCTTCCAGTATAGACATCAAGTCTTGAGATGGATATCCTCCTTTAAGCAGAGGGGCCATCCGCACACTTGCTTCCATTAGCAGCCGGTATTGAGTTCTTTCAGAGTTATGTTGGCAGTAAGGAGTAAGTGGTCTTTTCCATACTGCAGCAGAGATGCCCATAGTTCTCACTCAGGGCTAATCTATCCTGTCAGCCTGTGAATTATATTCATTGGCTGCTGGTTGCCAGTCCTCCATGTCATGTGCCGCATCTCTTCCCTGGTCTGTCTCTGCCGCTGGCGCTGAGAGCCCCGTATATAATACTGTTATGGGTGCCCTCACACACAGTTTCAGAATTACGAGTCCACTTGTGATGAAACGAAGCCCATTTTAGTGTGTGTGTGTGTGTGGTGCTGATAAATGGGGTGATGTTGAGTTGAACTTCTTGATTCGTAGTTTTGTAACCGAAAGGATGAAATATCATATCATTATGAAGACAGTTTCATCTAAATTAACATATTTGTACATGCTCACCTGGAGATGAGCATGCATTTTCAGTTGATGCTCTGTAGGAGCTGAGCGGCAGGTTTTTGCAGGGGATTATGGGATTGTTAAAAGAGCGATGCAAGGGGTGACAGCCATAAAAAGCAGAGAAATGCTCAACTTTATGCAAATGGGAGGTGGAAAATGCTAATCGCTGAGATGGAAGCAGTGACGTCTGTAGTAGACATTTCAAACTGTGTCACAGTCCTGGTGTTTCTTGTGAATTTAGTGCTTTAAAGAATAGTTTACCCCAAAATATAGTTCTACTTACCCTTCCAAATCTGTATGACTTTGTTCGTCCTGTGGGACACAAAAGAAGATATTTTAAAAATGTTTCTTTCAAATGTTTTTGCCCTTACAATGAAAGTCAGTGGACTGGAATTGATTTTCATTGTGGGTACAAAAACACTCAGTCGTTTGGTTGCCCTGATCTTCAAGGACTAGGCTACAGTTTATGTTCTTTTTATGTAAGATATATTAGCAGAGCAGCTCTTCAAATCACAATGACTCAGACCACACAAACTGTCTTCACTTTCGATTACCTCCTCAGCCTTGAGATTGAGCACTTTGATAATGTCAATATCGTAGCCGGTGAGAATGGAAGACATTCTGTGTATGCCAATGGCCACGTGAAACAATAGAGCTGAACATTTATTACTCGGCAAAGGCCACACATTTTGTAAACAGCTATGTCTGTCATTGATTATGTTGTCTTGTTTATTTACTTTCAGGGTGTACCAGGTGCCAGTGGAGGACCAGGCCGAGATGGACCTCCAGGACAGAGAGTAAGCGTTTTTCATAAACTCAATTCAAACTTTATTGTTAGTTCTTCATGATGATATCAGATAAGCTGAGGAAGTTGTACCATTACAAATGACTGTATGTAATATTCAGGGTTGTCAATCAGTTTTGCTAATTGTTTTATAGATGGTGCACAAATACAAAACACCATGACCACCGTCGACATTAAAATTAACACTAACACTAAAAATACAATAAACATTAAATTCATAACATAAGATGAAAGATAAAACCCTACATAGTTATGTACATACCTGATAAGAAAAATCTAAGAAGAAACAGTTATTTTGATGAACAACCAGAGAATTCTAAAAAATGTCGATTTATGGTTTTTCACTGTAAATTGCTTCCAAAAACTGTTACTAATCAGTAACCAATTAACAGGTTTTTACCGTAAGATTTTGACTGTCTTTTACCATTAAAATGATGTAAATTTTCAGTGTAATTTTTCGTTTTATTTATTAATTGATAGTCATATTTTTTGTAGATTACATTTTAAAGCATTCAGTCAATTAAGATAATTGTGATTTTATTTGACTTTTTTATTTTATTGTATTTTATTTTTTAATAATTGTTATATTTTATTTTAAACAGTCATACAGATACATTCGGTCACATCTCAAAGTTTTTAGCATCTGTTAAAAATGCATATGGGAAACCCCTGTGTACTTTTCCATTCTTTGCACTCCATCCTGCATGAATAATTCTTGCCATGGGAGGTGGGATGATCCCCTGCAGAATTTACAAAAATACACCTTGCATTTAAGTGGTACTTCAAACTTCCACTGGAGGGAAAATTACTTACTACGGAATTTACATTCGGGTCAGGGGGCATAAATTGTTAATTTGCGTTAATTTTGCATTAATGCATTCATTTTTAGACCACTGTTTTTTAAAAATAATTAATTCATAATTAATGCTTTAATGCATGAGTTAACTTTGATGGCCTAAGTGATATTATAAAGTAAACGTACTTTCAGTCATGCTATGTAAGAACAATTCCACATGGGTGGCTTATCAAATTAAGCTTATGTGTTCTTCTGTGTCTGAACAGATCTGATTACGCTGAAGGAGGCCCTGACTCACAGATTCAATTTACAGGACTGCTAGTCAATAACACCACAACCTGAACTAATCAGATCTGTCCCGCTAGACTGTCATAATAAGCGCGTAAATAAAAAACGTGTTTGTTTTCGTTATTGATTTTGTTCCTCGTATCCAAACCAAATTAAGCAACTTGTGAACAAAGCCTTACTTGACATTTCGGAATCACGCACATGTGATTCACAGATCCTTAAAATGATTTTAGTATCAGCTCACATGTAACACGTGAAATATAATTGCCTCCTAGTCTAGGTGTTTTGCGCTGCATAGAGAGGTTTAATATCGTTATTCATAAAAGAGCGGAATCACCTATATGTATGTAGCCTATACAGATTAAGATTGAAAAAAGGAACACTAGACTCATTCTGTGAACTGTAATGAAAAATATGCATGAGGTGGTTATTCGATTACCATTCCCAAAGCCGTGTGGTGTAATTAAATGTTAATGTCTTAGTGAGAGAGTGCAAGTTCGCCATCTCTGTTTAGTAATGAGCAGCCTGAGTGGAAATGTTTGACTAAATCTGTCATTTTGCATCAGAAAATAAAAACAAGGAGCACAAATGGAGGCGTTTCAGACCACACTGCTGCTTACTGAGCTGATTTAAAGCAGGTTGAGGGATAAATCTGCTGTGGTTTCATACACAGTAACTCACTATGACAGTTTAACAAAGAAAGCAGATGTTTGGCTTTGGACTTATGATAATCTCTAAACAGAACATTTGTAAAAGAATATTAGTACAGTTCCAAGGTTAACTAACTGGTTGTCTTGCCTGTAAGCGGCACACAATGAAGTGCTGAAGAAATTATTCAGTATTTCTGGGATTTTCACTTGCAAACAGATTTCATGGAGACACTAGAATAAAACTGTACAAAGCATGGTACAAAGAGGTGAAATTTCTAGATTGACACCAAACTGGGATGGGCAATATATGAAATATACACAATATATTCTGATTTTGCTGGCAATAAAATTAAGCAATAATGTGAATATCACAAATATTTGAATAAGGTCTCTGATATAAATGCAGAAAAAAAAGAGTTGATAAGTTTAATTTCTGAATGTAATTAAAGTGTATTGTTGAAATGATTAAATAATTTCTTGTGTTCACTTAGTGAAAAACTGGTGAATACGTCTTGATTACTTTAAGATAACGGTTTCTACCACCATTTTGAATATTGAGGATAATATGAAATGTTATTTGAGCATCAAATCAGCATATTAGAATGATTTCTGAAGCATCATGTGAAACTAAATCCTAGAAGTCTAAAATTCAGCATTGCCATCACAGAAATAAATTACATTGTAAAATTATATGTAGTTCTAGTTCTGGAATGTCATTGTTGCAGTGAATAAATGGTGTGTTTGGCCTCATTGAATATGAGCACAAAGCAAAGAGGTGTTAATAGCATGCTTCCACCATGACTCCTTCTTGAGGGAGGTTCTTATCCACCTCAACACACACATAGCTTCTGTGAGAGAAAAACTTCTGTGACCTCAAACACTCATATGGGATTGCATATGTTGCGTGCACTCGAACTATTCTGAGGCTTTATGCTCTTGAAGTGTGGTACTCCAAAAGTATGTTACACTTGAGGCGATTTAAATGTTACATTGTTTTCCCTTTCCTCCATTGGCCTGTTTCCCAAAAGAGCCAGATATTTAGGGCAATGAGGCATGTTCAGTGGAAGAACACTTAAACTCAGTTGGATCACTGGCTAAAAGGAAGCAGCCAGAACCGTATTATATAATTTGTGCAGACAGATCTGACATTAAGTTGTTGTTGTTGAGTCTCTATCCCCTACTGAGGTACTTCAGGTGCATCCCAGTATTCTATAATAAAACAGTAGTGGAATGGATGTTCCAGTTAAAACACATTTCCACCTGTTCTGTTACTTTGCTGTTAGCGTATCTGGTCTTTTGCATTGGAAACGTTGACTGTTGAACTGTTCCAAAAAAGTTCATGCTGCCAGTGTACAGAGGTCAGCCAGAGTTGAACACATGCTGTTCATTTAGTGAGATTCAGTGAGTTTCATCAGGCTGATTCAAACTGGTAAATTGTGAGTTTGTCTTTTTTGAGTCATTTGTTTGTGAATCAGACTAGACTCTTCTCGCTGTATGTTTGTTTTTGCGTGCAGCCCGCAACAACATTATTTCACAATCACATTTATTTCGGAATACAAACTCACATTCACAACTTGGGTAATGATTTATTTTGCTAAAGAAAAGCTGTGCAGGAAGCACTGGCACTTCATAATGTGTTATCTTCGTTTCTGCTTACTGTTTCTTAGATTCCCTTATGAGAATTGGGACTTTGGCGTTTTACGGTTTCATACAAATGCTAAAAGAAGATGCTATGCTGTATTTATATTGATATATCACAGTTTTTTATTTTAAACAAAGCATTGTGGCCATCAAAATTCTTTCGTTTTAGGGCCTACTGGGTAAGGATGGACCCCAGGGAAGACAGGGCCCTCCAGGACCAATGGTATATAACATGATAAAATCACTCTTTGAGTCTTTCTGAGACTTGGTCATGAACCTTTTGTCCTCTCAATATCTCATTTTAGGGAAGCCCTGGAGCTCCTGGGGCTCCAGGACCAACTGGATCTCCAGGGCAAATGGGTGATCAGGGGATATCTGTGAGTATTGCATTACAGTCATGTTGAATAAACTAAAATCAAAATGTTGTAGACTGCAAATCGTGGCATCAGCTGATAATTAAGTCTGTGTCCCTGTCTTTAAGCAAGAGGTAAAGTGTTTGACTCGGTTCTATAAATGTGGTTTTGTGGAGTTCTTGTTTAGTTGAAGGAACATTGAATTCAGCAGACTGTCCTACTGCTGACTCATTCTCTTTAGTGTCAGACTCCAGCATTATTCTCACTGAAGTACCAGACCACCAAAGCTGAAAAGAGAGACCAGAATTAAACATATTTTGAGGTCATAAAGCAAATTGGTCCTTTGGTTCCCCACTCAACTGATATCGAATATACCTGATTAAAAAAACAGCATGGTTTGGTGGTGATGTGCTGATGTTCTCATTAGGCTTCTCTTGGCAAGGCTCAGCAATAAGGATGGCCCGCTGGTCCAGAGCAAACACAAGAGGGTTTTACGCCAATTTACAACTTTTACCATTGCCGTGGTGCCAGCAGAGCAATCCTTACTGTTAAACTTTGCCTTAGTTAACCATATTTGCCAGAAAGACGTTGGCCAACCAGGTTTTGCTGGTAAACAGAATGATTATAATGGTCTTCCAGCTAGACCAGCGGTGTCCAATTCTGCTCCTGAAGGTCCAACCTGCTTCAGCACACTTGCCTGGAAATTTCAACATTATCTGGTTCAGGTGTGTTTAAGACCAGCACTGCAGGATAGTGGCCCTCCAGGAGCAGGACTGGACATCCTCAAGCTAGAGTAACACCAAACCTGCACTAACTAGCCTGATCTATTCAGCAGGATGATTTTTGCTTTGAAAGTCCACGTGTGTAGAAGCTAGAAATCCACCTACAGTATTTATCATATAGAGTCACTGTATTCATGCCTAGAAATTAGTTATGAATGCTGGAGCAGACAGCTCCACATGAGTAGAGTTTTGGTTTTGAAGCACTTTGTTCTTAGGCTCACTGTAGCTCAGTTTCAGCCTGCAAAGATCTATCTTATACAGTCCGACTGGTCAGAGAGATACCTGTAAACTGAGAAATCTCAGGTATTGTTTGCACAGGGCCTTTGACTGAAATGTTTGTTTCCCATTTGTATATTAGAAGCACAAGGGATTCTGAATTAACGTCAGTCTCTATGAGTTTCCTGCTGAGTGACACCTATATAAGTTGGAGCTCTATTACCTTGCATTTGTTCTCATAGATTCATAAAGTAGAACCATATGCTCCAGCACAGTCGTTGAGGAGCATCTGCAGAGCTCGATTGCAGTGTAACCTCTCAACACTGATTTGAAACCTGTACGTCTTTCTTTTTATAAGCTCTGGAAGAGAGATTGTCAGTAAGATGACAAGTTTATGACCAATTGTGGCCCAGTTTATAGAAGAGCAGGGCTTTGTTAATTCTACTACAATATAGATATAGAGCCATAACCTCGTGCTCCGATGTGTGAAATTACATGCAGTACTTTAAATAAACTATGATCATATTCTCACACAGTCTGGCACAACAACCACATATCCTCAAGATGAGTCCCAGTGAGCCTCCAATGAGTCTGTCTCAGGGTTACATCTCATTTTTACCCAGATGTTATGATATCAGAATTGTTTAGCAGCCACGGTGCTCTGGCCACAAATCTCAGTCTGTTTTCCAACACATTAGGTCAGTGACGCATCCATTTTATGTTTTTGGCTCATGCGTTTCATCCGTGATCGATTTGGTCCGCTCTCACATTCAAATCCCCCTCTCCAAACAGTCATTAATGTCTTTGTTTTGCTTTTTGGTCTTTTTCTTCTCCAATCGGTGAATTCTGAAATGTTTGTCTTCACTTTCTTTTTCTATTTTTGCAGGGGCCTCCTGGCGCCAAAGGCGAACGAGGAGAGAGAGTGAGTCTCCAATCTGCATCTAAACTGTCATGGAGTTTAGATTAGGGTGGAGGCATGTGGCACTCGGGTGGTGCACATAATGGCGGTTTATCAGCGACAGGATTAAGAGGCTTGCTGACAGGCCTCTTGATAAAAATCACAGCAGCAGCACTGAATTATAGCTCCTTCGCTTTTTCACACTCTGTCTAAATGCTTGGGGTTTTTAATTCAGTCGCTGCGGGAGCATTAGAAAAGCTGACTAGATTAGACTAAAGCTGTCTATCAAGTCTCACAGTCAGACTTGGTCCAGAGCTTCCACACAACAATATATTTGTGTTTTTATTCTTTGGTTCTGATTTCTCCACTGCTGTGGTACCGGCCACCACACAAAGGGTGTGTGGAGAGTGTTAAATTGGGTGAATTAAACACCCACGTTGTACAGGCTCTTAGCCTCCATTTAAAGCAGCTAAAGTGGCAGCTTGTGGTCTTAATACATGTTGTATGCTTGCTTTTATGGTGTAAACAGTAGTGTTAGTGGATTGCAAAATTCATTAGCACACAGAATGGACAGTGTTGTCAAAATAGTTCATTTATTCATTTACTTATTTATTATTAATTGTTATTTCCTGTAGTATGGCAAGTAACAAAGTAGTTGCCTGTCTGTCTGTCTGTCTGTCTGTCTGTCATCTATCTATCTATCTATCTATCTATCTGTCTGTCTGTCTGTCTGTCTGTCATCTATCTATCTATCTATCTGTCTGTCTGTCTGTCTGTCTGTCATCTATCTATCTATCTGTCTATCTGTCTGTCTGTCTGTCTGTCATATATATTATTATTATTAACATGTTCAATGGAATGGACAGATCCACTAATCCACTTATCAGAATGACCTATTAAAAAAACACACATTAATTTGGTGTTGTTCTTAATGTGAGAAACACTCTAAATCCAGTATATCTGAGTCAGAATTCACCACCCTAAAGCTCATCCTCAGGAAACTGTCCAGACTTTGAGAGCAAAAAAAATATGTTGCCTTTTTATTGATTGTCTCAGTTTTTGCGGCTCTCTCTTTTTATGTGCCCAGCATAGAGGAAACAGAATACATCATTCTGTATACGTTCAAGTTCTTAAGCTCTGGCAAATCAGACTAATTTCACAGTACAGTTTCTTTTTTGTAGCTCTCCTAGTGCATAACTTTCAAACAGTGCCTAAGGTTTAAAATGATTATAATATTTAACTTCAAATGACAAAACTGTGATACTGTACATCCCCATCTGAATCCCATGTTGTTTGTTCTTGAAGGGTAATATGCAGTCTCAGGCCGCTGTCCGTGCCATAGCGCAACAAGTTTGTGAACAGCTAATTCAGAGTGAGTATATTTTGTGTACATATACTATGTGATTTGACGCTCTTTTACCAAATTCACAGGAAGTCGTCTAACTGCGGCTGACCCGCTAAGTGAATTTATTTTTTTCTCCCTCCCCCTCAGGTCACTTGTCTCGCTACAACTCTATTCTGAACCAGATTCCCAGTCAGTCTGTTTCGGTACGAACAGTACCAGGTCCACCGGGTGAATCTGGTCGACCGGGACCTCCGGGGCCACAGGGAGAGCAGGGTTCTCCTGGCAGACCGGGATTCCCTGGAGCCAGTGGGCAAAATGGCCGGCCAGGAGAGAGAGGTAAACATTTTTACATGTGATAATAACCTACTCCGGCACTAGATACTATACACTGCTGAATACAACAATACGAACATGTGTTTTGAATTTGTAGGCATTACATTTTTGGGGGAAAGTTAAAACAGAACTTTTGAAGATTAAATTGTGGAAAAGTAGTAGCTGAGTTTGTGGAATAATAGCAAATAATAGCAAAATTAATATGTCAGTAGGGTATTAGATGCATAAACAAAATGCACAGTGGGTTCTGGGCTAGTCTAGTATACATAGTATGAAGGATGATTAGTTGTTGGATAGAAATGTCGCCCCTGCAGCTTAAGGTTAAGCAGAGATCTTGTAGCTATAATAATACTGAACATTAGTAAGACCTCTCTGACCCCATCCATGATAAATTTTGTTAACATCTTGGCTGACAGCCCTGGCTAACCTCAATACCACCCGTCATCATACACAATATGTAAACTACTAACTCTTTTTTTTGGGGTAATGTTAGTAAGCCAAGAACAACTACTTCAAAGATGCCACAAAGCAATGCTTTAGTCTCTTTAGTATGTAACAGCTGAATTGAAGTTGACAGCCTCTTAAGCAATCACAAGTCCCACACTGCACCGAAACTGCACTGAAAAAGTGAAACGACCAGTTTGTTTAAAAGTGTTGATGTGCAGAACAGTTTAGAGAGGGTTTTATTAATATTTAAAAAAATTTTTTTTTTTAGAACATTACAGCAAATATGATGCATATTTTAAAAAGACAAAATAAATTAAACATTAGGGGCCAGATTTACTAACAGCTTGCGCCAATGCAAACTGTCTTTTGGCATTAAAGTAGTACTGTCAGGTTTTACTAAAGACGCGCAGTGAAGAATTAGTGCTGAAAAGGAGTGGACACAGTTATTTTTGCACCTGACCTTATTGAATATGCTTTTGTAGGAATTTCCCTTTCAGACGCAAAATTTATGGGAGAAGAGTATTAAAATTAATCATGCAACGTGATTTACTAATGTTTGTGCTCGTTCAATTACTGGTATTTGTGCCATCTTTTAACGCACAAAAAAAACAAATCTTAAAGCAGGTGGTAATTTGCGCTGCTCTTGGTAGATTGCGCTGGTCATTATGGAAATGATCTGGCTGCGTCTGTGTTCTTTAATGTGCGCATTGTCAGTAAATCACATGCAGAATTTTCTCCTCTCATTGCGCTCTAACACTAATTTGCCCTGTTTAGTAAATCTGGCCCTAGATAACAACACATTTTTTTATTTTTATCTTAAGTGAAAATTATACTTTCATAATGCGCTAATTTTGCTTTTTTTATCTTGAAATAAAATTGTTTTACTGACCTGCATTAAACATTTTTGCTTATGTCTAAAGAAAATATATTCATTAAGTATGGTATGGTCTTTATAAAAAAAGCCTTATACTTAGATAATAAATATTTTTGATACATATTAAATCAAGGTTTGAACCGAACAATAAATATAATTTGAGAAAAACGAATAAATTTGGCTCTAACAAAAGAGAGTATTTTTTAAGTTGATCCAACGCATTTTTTTAGGTGACTAAAAAATAAAATCTGGAACTTTCTTTCCCCTGAATACGACTGTACACAAATTGCATTAGATCTGCATGACCTTCCTGCCAAGAGCAACTCTCAGCCAGAGTCTTTATCATGAGTGAGTGTCCACACTGCTTAGTCTCCTGTCCTCAATTAGAAGAGCTCTGACACACAGCCTGAGGTTTCAGCATGAGATATTTCACCATCATTACGGCTTCTCTCAGGGATCTGTGCACTCAAACATCCAGATATCAAGCAGGAACATGCAGAGCATGGATATGATGCAGTCAGTGCAAAACAGAGCCGCTAATGAGGGATAACATAGGGGGGATATTTGTCTGTTTATGTTAACATGGGGCCTATAATGAACAATCTTATTCAGAAGTTCTCTTTTAGATTGTCAGTGTTGCTCAGAAGTGATGAAGATCAGACTGCCTGTGGGGCAAAAAGCTGCTTACATTCAGAGTGTTCAGAGACCCTTAGAGACAACAGTTTGGACAAATGAACCATGTTTCAAGGAAATCGTATTTTTCCCATTCATTTCAAGGTGCTTTTTGGTGTAGTTACAGCATCTGCCAGTAGAGATTAATTGGATCAATTGGAACGTTAAGCACTTACTCTTTCAATTCCAATGCTGACTTCTTAAAGAAAGATACTATAGATAGATTCTGATAGATTTGTGTGAGAAAACAATTGCGATTTAAGTTGTCATTCTCTTAAATAAGTTATTCCCTTCTGCTGTAGCTCTCACTGACAGATCAGCCACATCAGACCTGTCAGTGTTATTAACACAATCCAGGTCTTTTATTTCTTCCCTAATGGTTTCATAAAGGTGTGGAATAAGTTAAATCACATGGAAAGAGAATACAAGGATACAGCTTCTTCAGATGGGTTTGCATGTTCTAACAGATCCCTGTCTCTCTTTGTACAGGTCTCCCAGGAGAAAGGGGAGAGAAGGGCAGTCCAGGGATTGGGACACAAGGCCCTCGTGGTCCTCCAGGGCCCCCAGGTGAAAGACTGTTAAAATGTTACATTTAAGTCAAAATCAATTACTTCTTTGTTCTCAAGCCAGTAGTAAAAAAAAAAAAATTATATTCAAATTGTCTTCTTATTGCACAGACTACAGGAGTTTCCATTATTAAATGTCCTCTGTCAAAGAAAACACAAGCTTGCAAACTTTTAGTAATAACATCTGCACACATCTTGATCTGCTTTTGGTTCCTTTGATTCCTGTCTAGAATATCAAGCAGATATTGAAACAATATTTGGGTCAGGGAGAAATGTTTTCATATTGATTTTAGCAGTACGGCTGGTTGGTAGACTGGTAGGAAAATGTCAGCGTCCGCTCGCTGTTAATTGCGCTTTGATCAATACTCTTCACAAATGATAGTTCAGCAGGGGTTTCACGAGGCAGCTATTAATGGCTAATGTCTTGTCCCACTCAGGGCCTCCTGGAGAAGGTCAGACAGGAAGTCAGGGCCCTCCAGGGAGACCTGGAATTCAAGGCACCTCAGGACGTTCAGGTATCCCTGGTAGCCCTGGTCCTGCTGGACCCCCCGGCTACTGCGACCAGAACTCTTGCATCGGATACAACGTTGGAGGTAATCCTCTCCTTCTCTTTCTCTCTCTCCCAAACTCTCTCTATCTGTCAAGGATTCTCAGTTTCATTCAGACTTTATTCTGTCAGGTACATCCAGTGGGTCTCATTCACTAATAATTGTGTACAAGTGATCTTACAGTATGCATGAAGCAAAGGTTCTCGAGTGAAATTTACACCAGATTTACAACATATGCACATATTTCTTTGTATGTTGATGAATGCAGATTATTCTAAATGATGGTGCAGTAATTAGAATAATATATGCCCACAAGCATTGACACACCCATATAAAAAACAGCTTCAGCCAAATCCACTATCCTTCCTGAATTTGAATTGAAGTAGCAGTAGTAACAGAATGTAGAATTGCCATTTGAATTAGAAAGTAATAAACAAAATTAATTGAAATTCATCCAACTGTAATTTTTAACTTGGAAAGCAAAATTTGTCGTGGCTAGGTTGGGTGGGTAGGTAGGTAGATGGATGGATGGATACCATAGATGGATGGGTGAATGGATGGATGGATACTATAGACAGATGGATGGGTAGATGGATGGAGGGATGGGTGGGTGGATGGATGGACACTATAGACAGGTGGATGGATGGATGGATGGATGGACACTAGACGGATGGATGGATGGATGGACAACTCTAGACAGATGGGTGAATGGATGGATACTACAGACAGAAGGGTGGGTCGGTGGGTTGATGGATGGATGGATACTATAGACAGATGGATAGGTGGATGGACACTATAGACAGGTGGGTGGATGGATGGATGGATGGATGGACACTAGATGGATGGGTGAATGGATGGATACTATAGACAGAAGGGTGGGTGGGTTGATGGATGGATACTATAGACAGATCTGTAGATGGATAGGTGGATGGACACTATAGACAGGTGGATAGATGGATGGACACTAGACAGATGGATGGATGGATGGACACTCAGACAGATGGGTGAATGGATGGATACTATAGACAGAAGGGTGGGTTGATGGATGGATGGATGGATATAGGGCTGCACGATTAATCGAATGCGATTGTCATGCGCATTTTGTTAAAAAAGCCGGTTCTGTAATCAGCAGGAAATCATGATCACGTGCTTTCAGATGGAACAGAATTTACTACACATAGCCGTAGTTCACTGACAAGTTACGCAAAAAAAAGTTGAATCTTCTGTTTATTCAGCTGCAGCGATAGGCATTTTCTGGGTTTCTTCTGCGAGGCGTATTTGGAGTTTCAACGCGAGAGCGCCCTCTGGCCTTTGGATGGAGATTTACTGCTGATCACAGAACCGTGCTTCACTGAAAGATACGCATGACAATTGCAGCTTCTGTCGAATCGCGATCTGGTAGGAAAATGTCAGCGTCCGCTCGCTGTTAATTGCGCTTTGATCAATACTCTTCACAAATGAGATTCATTGAAGCAACATAGCTGTAACAGCCAGTGACATCTGAGAGGGATGTGGACTGGAAAAGGCTAAAACTTGTATTTTGTGAGGAAGGAATCCAGACACACTTTGGGTGTGAAGTTCAGCAGGTTTTTTTTTTTTTTGAGGCAGATTTTAATGGTCAATGTCTTTTCCCACTCAGGGCCTCCTGGAGAAGGTCAGACAGGAAGTCAGGGCCCTCCAGGGAGACCTGTCAATCAAAGATACGCATGACAATTGCAGCTTCTGTCGAATCGCGATCTCGATTCCATTTCGATTTATCGTGCAGCCCTAGATGGATACTATAGACAGATGGGTGGATGGATAGATGGACACTATAGACAGATGGATGGGTGGATGAATGGATGCTATAAAATAGACAGATTAATGGATGGCTACTATACAATACGGTATGGTATGATACAATATGATATGGCAGTAAAAAAGAAGAATGGATGGATGGATGTAATAGACAGATAGATAGATAGATAGATAGATAGACAGATAGACAGACAAATGAAAACATTCAAGTTCTATGCAAAAATAGATGCATATGCCCAGTTAGTGAATGAAACCCAATGAAATCTGCATGTAGTTGTCAAGGTAACCATGGATACTGAACATCTGAAAGTCAATTATAGAGTTAGTCTGAAAACAGCGTCCCTGACGAGTCCTCATTGAACTGTGGGTTTAAGACTGTTTCAGGCTTCACTGATAATCACCATACAGAAAACTGATGAGGGAACATACCACACAATCTTCCATAATGTTATTCTCCACGGCCTTTTGAAGTGCTTCACACATTCTCGCTTGAGATTGCATTTCCATAACTGCTAATGAATGGCAAACCCATTGCTATAAACAAGCTTGTGGTCTGACTCAGAGATTTTCATCCCATTAAACTAGCCTTTCCCAAACCATTATTCTACTTATAAATTTCTCATGGAGTCTAAATGCTTTCCAAGTATAAGAGTGAGCTGTGTGCTTACAAGATTTCAGAATTTCAGTTTTTAATATGAGAAACGCTGGACAGAAATGGACAGCACTCGTTTAAATAATTGATTTATCAGATCATAGCGAAGCTTTCTACCCAACGCCTCGCATATTATTGCAGTTTTGTATTGTGAAAAAATAACACTAATGTTCTCTGGGGTTTCTGCCATGTAAGGCCGTTAAATGACAGTGTAATATTCCACTCAATTGATGAAATACTGCATCAACACTTTTAAGATCTATAAAGGTTATAGCTTTAAGCTTTCAGTCAGCATAAAATCTTGCAACACAGCTTAATAGTATTGCAAATTGCTCTGTAACTTATTCAGCCCTCATTCTCTGGGATAATACTTCATTTCTAATGAGAGAATATAAGTTTTATGTATATTGACCAGATTTTAATGCCTTATTGAGAATCCTTGACTCTCCTTTTGAAGTGCCACTATGTAAAGATTACAGTCTGGCAGACGAGGTGTTGCTGAGAGCATCCTGTTGGTTATTTCGAGCTCACACTTACCGCAGTGTCTCTCTCCTCTCTTACCGGGCGTCACTGTCTCACACCTGCATGTGAAGGTCCAGCGCAGTATGAGAATGACTACTGAGAAACAGTAGAGAGCCACCTGCTCTTCTCCTCTCTCCCCTTCATTTCTTCATCCCACCTCCTTCCATGAGCCAAAACCAAAGACTCATTCCCAAACTCGATAATCCACGTACTTGGTTCCTCAACTCTTAAAATGTCACCACCATTGAAGCCCCATGCCTTTTTAACCATTCTGAGCATTGTGCAAACTGCAGTTTTAGACAATCTAAAGTGTTTTCAACCTTTTCTGGCATTAATGTTGAAATTTTAAACCAACACTCTTAAAAATAAAGGTTCCAAAGGCAGGATTTCACAGCCACAGAAGATACATTTTAGGTTCCTTTTATGTGAACCGTTCTTAAAATAACCTTTTTTTTTTAAGTGTAAAAAGCATTTTCATAATTTAAAGAACCTGTTTTCTTTCCACTATAAAGAACCTTTTTTTTGTATTGGAAATGGTTCCATGGATGTTAAAGGTTCTTCATGGAACCATTGTTGCCAAAAAATAACTTTTATTTGTAAGAGTGCACATCTAAATCAATCTATAATACCTGGAGAAAGCCATCTGTTGCCATTCCTGTTCGTCTTAATGTCAGCTGCTTGGCTGGCGCATGACCTCTGAAAGTATGAGATTTGAAATCTGCCATCTTTGCTCAGTTCTGCATCCAGATTTTTTTTGAGCCAATCACCTGAGCCATAAATACCATGTGACTAATCACTCTAGAGAAGCACGATTATGCTGATTGGCTGATGGCACCACAAGAATGCGCTTTAAGAGATCTCCAAAATGAATCAGTCACTATAGTAAATGTTTGAATGAAATATTAGCATTCATTCCGCCAATGGAGATTCTTTTAGCTATTTGGTGTAGTTTTAATACTTACCAGCATGGGCTAACTCGAGCCATGCTAAACCTCTTCCCCTTTGTCTAAACTAAGCTAATCTCAGTAACAACTCTCTTCTACCTTTCTGACGTCCTTTTCTGCCTTTATCTCTTTGCTTTTTCCTTTTCTCGCTAACTCAACGCCTGCTCACTTGGTGGTGGTGACTGAAAAAGATGGCAACCGATCTAATTCCCCCATGTTCCCATAGTACAACAGTTACCCCCCAACCCCTACCAAAACTACGGCCCCGCCACCAACGACAACGATGAGGAGGAAAAGGACCCTTACGGTGGCTACCGTGCCTACCCTCCTCAGTACTATCAACCCAGCTATCCTGACCCCCATGCCGCCAGGTTTGGCCCCGCCCACCCTGGTGACACGGTGGGGATGAGGTCACCTGGCACGCATCGCTTCTCCCGCAGCACGGCCGAAGAGGGGAGCGTCGACGAGTCGAAAGTGCAAGTGAAGGCCATATAGCTCGGGTGGCCAGCCCCAGCAAACAGACCGTCCACATACAAACACTCTTCATCAGAATATCCTGCAGGATAGGACTGAGGGAAATCCGAAAAGTGCCTGCTATATGCATCCTTATGATATTCATCCAGTGACTTTTCTGTCTTTTGTGAGGCTGCATGTAGCCAAAGAGATGAAAAGCAAGATCAAAGAAGGAACACTGCAACAAAAAAAAACAATTTTCGCAAGCAGTATTTTTTGTCTGGTTGTCCAGTAGAAATATCACAACTTAAAATAAATAAAATTAAATATATACAGTATTATATATATATATATATATATATATGAAATTGAGATTTAAACATCATCTGAAAGCTGAATAGAATAAGCTTTCCATGGATGTATGGTTTGTTAGGATATGACAAGATACAACTATTTGAAAATCTGGAATCTGAGGGTGCAAAAAAACAAAAAACAAAATCAAGCTATTGAGAAAATCGCCTTTAAAGTTGTCCAAATTAAGTCCTTAACAATGCATATTACAAATCAAAAATGAAGTTTTGATATATTTACGGTAGGAAATTTACAAAATATCTTCATGGAACATGATCTTTACTTAATATCCTAATGATTTTTGGCATAAAAGAAATATCATTTTGACCCATACAATGTATTGTTGGCTATTGCTACAAATATACCCGTGCTACTTATGATTGGTTTTGTGCTCCAGGGTCACATATATATCACATTTCCCCAAGATATATAATAATAATAATAATAATATACATTGCATTTATTTAGTCAATCACATTTTATTAACCTCACTTAATTAAATCTAGATTTATGATTAAAAATCTGCCAATTATAAGAAAAATAAACTTAAAAAATAAAAGATCTATTCTCTGAAAATAAGTCCCAATATTTTGTTCCACAAATAATTTAAGAAAGATATTATTACTGGCAAACACCAAAAATGCTGATTAACAAAATGCTTTTTGCAGCGCAGTGGTTTTGAATTGTGTATTCCATATCTTTTGTAAATGATAATGGGGGTGTGTGTACAGTTTGTGGGTTTTTTAAGTGCAAATTGGTGATCTACTATGTTACAAATTTCACAGATGTTTACAGCGTTTTGCAGTTATCTGGAACTGGCTATTAAGTTATTTTGTTTAGAGAAAAAAAAAAATACCTCCGTTGATGCTTTTGATGTTCTTATCACTAGCAGTTATTTATGAGAAGCTGAATTCTTAATCACACTTAATGCATTAATGAACCAAACCTAATCGCCTAATTTTTCACTGCTACAGTACTTCACAGTAACACCCTGTGTAACACCACACATTTTGTCGGGATCGTAATCGTATTATCACACATTTATGTGAACGTCCTTTACATATGGTCTTGTAAGATGAAGTGTCATGCAGGGGATGCAGTGAAAGCTCTCAACGTGTTTTTGTATAAAAGAAGAGCTCAGCATGGCATCCTTCCGTGTCTCTGTGGTCCTGTTTCCAATGGGTCTGCTCACTGTGAAAGAGACCTGAATAGTTAGAGTTAGGCCTGTGGTCTACCGTCCTTTCAGAACGAAAGCGGGTGCCCGTGGAAAGACTCATCACCAGACCTTTGAATCTACAAAGTAATTTATTTTTACTTTATTATTTGTTTTTGTAACCAATAAAACCATACTGCAACAATGACTCGAGATGATGTCTCGTCTGGCCTTTGTGCTTTTCTGTTCTGTGTGCCAACTGGTCACCCAAAATGGATTTAAAAATGTAATTTCACATTTAAAACAACAGATTCTCTTTTTTTAATAACCATGTTTGGTTAATGAGCTCAAATAATGGAACATGCTCTGAAGTTCCTTCTTCATAAAATCACATTTTACAAGCAAACTCAATTTTACCTTTACATTAAAAACTAAACGTGATGGTGCCAACATCGCAAAAGGCAGCAGTGACTAACAAGGGCGTTTCGTTTCCATCCCGACACAATGAGTTAAGCAGACTTCAAAAAGCCAAAGTAGCATCAGAAAGGGCTTATAGAGCCATATGAAGTTAATTAAGACCGACGCAGCAGTTGAATTAGAGCTGGATCAGGCTTCAGAGAGGCTGCTAAAGCCATTTGCAGGACAAGCAAAAGCCAATGAATCTGAGCTCTTTTACTACACAGTCACGACTAAACACTGTCCGACTACCTCGCTACCTTGGCTGAGGTTTAGATAAATACACATTATCCAGAAATTATCTCTATTAGGTATATGTTTATGCTTAAATATAAAACATAACCATAAGTTGACAAATTGGACTGTTTATTTTTATAATTTTGAGACCATTTATTTTACATTAACAATATATTTTAAAAAAGACAAACATTTCCAAGTCACAAACTAAAATGCAAGATCTGGGAAACTGCTTTATGATGGTCATTTCATCCTGTAGTCTTCTGGCCTGTGAACATACAATAGACAGAAAAGTGAAGTCAGTATTCAAGCACACTATTGTGCCTTCTTAAGATTGAAATGGTTGCTAATGACCAATGAAACAGAACAGGAACTTAAACCTTCCAGACTGATTTGAACAAATTGTAGTCAACAAATACATTATCACAGTTAACTGAGGGCAGGCAATTTTGTAAAGCTGTTAGTTGCGCAGGTGCACCCCTAACTTTGAACCTGGAAGCAAAAAAAAATGAATCACTGAATATAGTGATTTGTTTCCACCGGTATGAAATTTTAATTAAAAACTTTCCCCGCTTAGATTACTATACCCTTATTGTATGCATAAAAGATCAAAATATTGTGCTTGCTTCATGTAAGAGTAATTTAAGACTGTCAGCAGGGAGACAATGCATAATTTGACATGACATCCCACAGTGCTTCCTCTCATTTATATGACAATTAATGAAAACTTCAGTGTTATAGACAGAAACTGTAAAAAGCAGTCAGTATTTTTTTCTTTAAGAAATGAATACATTTATTCACCAAGGACATCTTAAATTGAAGTTTTAAGCAGCACAACTGTTTTGAACACTGAAAATAATAAGAAATGTTTCTTCAGCACCAAATCAACATATAAGAATGATTTCTGAAGGATCATGTGACACTGAAGAATGGAGTAATGACTCCTGAATATTCAGCTTCTACATTAAAGGAATTCATTACATTTTAAAATGCATTAACATAGAAAACAGTTATTTTAATTTCGGTCATGACAACTCTCGGAAATAACCCCCCTATAGCATACATGAATCCATTGGGTCTATAGCAGATCTATACAGGTGGAGCTGGGGAAGGTGGAGGGTTTCTGAAGCGTGCTGCAACTGCTACAGCAAGCACTAGCCAAGCATTTGAATGTTGAGCAGCGAGCTCATTGGCTGCTCATACAAAAAGAACCAATCAGCTGCGCCATGTGATAATGTCATTATGTCAGATTGAGTTAGACCTATCAGACTGCGCCATCTAGAGTTTCATGCCAGAACTTTGGATTTGTACAATTTCACAATATTACAAATTTCACTGTATTTGTGGTCAAATAAATGTAGTTTAGGTGAGTAAAAGAAACTTGCAAAAACACTGAAAAAATCTTACTGACCCCAAACCTTTGAACAGTGGTGTATCCATGATGTCACATGTAGGTATGCCATCTGCTACTGAGGAAATTTCATCTCAAGGTTAAAAATTCAACACCCTGTCACTGTCCAGCCAGAGACGGACCCAAAGAGGGACAGAGGGGTCAGGGGCCCATGGGCCCGCAGAGTAATGACACTGACCCACATTAAGGGTCTCACTCAGAGACACATCCATCACCATGACAACAATGTCACCTTGTCACCATCATAAGCACTGCCTCAGGATGGCATCTGATCACTGCTGATATTACCATGTCCAACACTGAAGGGCATTTCGCAGTTAAGGAATATGTCTGTGAATTTAGGCTATATATAACTTAAGATATTTTATAAATAGGTTCCGTCTGGTACTTTCACACTCTTAACTACTAGCCTGCCAGCCTTCAGTTTTAACATGATGTTAAAAGTTTGTTTTAACATGATTATTTGCCACTTTCATGTCCTACATTCACATACATAAGTGATTATAAGACATTTTTACTGATAAATGCATTTAAAAATTAAACACTACATTAAAATTCATTGCAAAATTTAAGACATTAGCCAGGATGAGTAAATAAAAGCATCTTTTCAAGACACTATCAGTTCAGAGTTACATGAATAACGAAGTCCTACAAATGTAATTAAAATTTAACCTATGAAAATAAGGCAAGACTGATCTAACATCTCAGAATCTTGAAACATTTCCATCATTTAGAGACAGACCTGAGAGGATTGCTTTTCTGGGTATTTAAATAATACATGGCAAACACTGTCTGAGAAACCTAAAGATCTGAAATATCTCAGACTCACGTTTGTGCTGTCGAGGCACTGGCATACATACAAAACGGCATATTTGTGCTGTACTGTGGTAAAACAACGGGCAATTCAGCAAATCCGGAGATTGGGATTCAAACAAGGACCTGTTTGAGTTAATAAATACATTCTAAATGTCAGCTACTGGTATTTCAGATGACTGCAGGCATTCTGTGTCTGTAAGAATGTGTTGTATTTCTCCTACAGATGCCAGATACTAACCAATCAGGTTTTTTTGACGATTATGGTAGACGACGTGTTGCACACATACATACAAATTCACAACCTTGAACAGATCAGCGGAGATGATCAATAATCAATTAGAAACTAAGTTTCATGCTGAACTTATTGTAACGTGTTAGATTGAAAGTCCTTGTAATTAATGTAAACTAGCCATTACCATGCCACCTACTAATTCAGCAGTTAAATCATTTCCAAGAGTGCAACAATAATGGAAGCTTTCATTATTTTCAGACGACATCTCACTGTTGACTGAACTCTATAGACCAAAAAGCCAATTGCATGCTGGGAGCCAAGTTTCTCATTAGAGCAACTCTACTACCAGAGAATGAAACCAAGCGGATTTACATTTCCAGAAGGAAATACTGGCTGCAAAAAAAAATCAAGCGGTAATATTAGTTTAGACTCTAATTTTGTGTAAATGAAGAGCCACTGTTGCACACACTAATCAACACTGCTTTTAAATTGTTAAATTATGCCATGTCTTGCACATCAGCACCATGTTTTAAGATGCATGTGTCGAGTAGAAGGTTCAACTTTTAAAAAACCTCAAGGCCAAAGTATACTTTGTTTTTTATATTTTAAAACAAACTTTCTATAGCTGTTGTTCTTGGTGTAAACGGGCATTTACAAGCACTTACACAAAAACCGCAACATGACACTTAAATCAAATGCCTGAGTCATCGTCAGCTGTGCATTTAATTCTGACATATGTAAATGACATGGTTTAATTTATAAAGATTTGCATATTGCTCTATAATCATAAAAGACAGTGTATGCAGAGAGAGAGAGAGCAAGAGAGATGCATGAGGGGTGAAATAAGGTTAAACTCTCAGATCTCTTGGCACAGAAGGGAAGAGCTGTGGTTCAGCCACATTAAATAAAGCAATGCCTCTCAAAATCTTTGAGCCTAGGGACACATCAAACTGCCAGCCAGTTAATGCTCTAAATGCTGAAGCAAGTCAAATTTACAATCTTTTGAATTTCATATTTACTACAGCTGTGGTCAGACTGTTGAGGAAAAAGATGTTTTGACTCGCCGGCTTATCAGCCAATCAAATGTTACCAAACAAACATCACGTTGCTTTACTCCAATTTAATTACAGGAGATCTGCCTGTCTCATTATCACATTGTCATCTCCTTCCCGCAGATATATTTTAATTACACGCTCCATGTGGCGCCTCAGGAGGAATCAGCTTGTGTGAAATAATACAATGGGGACAACAAACAAAACCAGCCATATAGGTAGAAATAGACACAGTTGGTTGCCTCAGTGTTTGTTTGAGAGGAGTATGAACTCTGGGCATCACACAGCGACCCCAACCTAACCAACACACAAAGAACAACCACACATACTTTTGATCTCAAATACCAGCTGGCTGGACTGGATCAACTAGAAAACACAATGTGGGATAAATGATATCGAAACAACGCCTGACCCTTTTAGAGGCACAACCTCAAGTTAGAGAAAACCAGTCCGTCACATGACACTTTGCCTTATCAAAAAAAAAAAAAGACATATGAACTCCAACACTGACATAAAGCCTTGGTTTTGGTAAATTTATAAATGTATAAAGTCATTTGTGAATGACTTACACAATCATGCAAGTAATCGCGTTAATTTGCATATATATAATAAGGGTTGGGAACATAATTACCAAAATTACTATGAAAGAGTTTCTAGCAATATATATTCAATGGCACTGGAACACTGTTACAGAATTTACAGCACAACGGTGATTATCAATGACAAAATCAGATAAAGCAACTAGTGTAGTCTGATTTTTGAATAATTGATTCTTATGAGTGAATCAAAAGCACCCAAATCAACTACTGTATTTAGAATCCTGAACAATTGATTCTTGTGAGTCAATCATTTCAAGTGAATCAAAAGCATCATAGGTATTCTGATTTCTGAACAACTGATTCTTATGAGCTGGTTCTTTTCAGTGAATCAACCAAAACACAACTTTCATCTAATTGTGAGAATGTGTAAATTATATATAAATATATAAAAAAAACTGTATATTACTAATGTTTAGTATATGTGTATAGGCCTACTGCATTATGCCAAATTTAAAAAGACTCCGAATAGTCATTAAATATATGTGTAAACACCATTTTTAACAAGTTGATTTAAGCTAATTATTAAAACAGTCAATGGACTTCGATTCCTTTATTTTTCTTCAAATATTTATTCCTGAAAAGTACTAGTAGATTCGTTAACAGAACTACTAAGAAACCAAGATTCTTAAGATGAATCAGAACCAAAATTAAATCAGTAGTTTATGATTATATTACTGGAAATTACATGAAGTACTGTACACTGAAGACAAGGTAATGTACATATTTAACAGACTGAAGAAATGAGGATTCAAGTTCTCCACTGCCCACATGTACCATAGTGTTCTTAAAAGAATTTTGCAGTTGGCTATTGCTCAAACCAAGGCAAAAGAGCTGCTTTAGTGGTTAGAGGTCTTCATTCATGCCAAAGAAAGACACAGCTGCTAACTGTCAAATAATGTGCTTTAATGAACCAAATGACTGTATCTAACAAAAAGGGAATATAGTTGAACATTTTGTCATCACTCATCCTTTGCCAGGTGAAAATAACAAGTCACTTTGAAGAGTAATAGCACACTCTGCCTTTCCTTAGCGAGTAAAACTACATATACATTTCCTATGTACATCTTTTGGCACAACAAACTGCCTTTGAAATGCTGTAACACTGCTTACCTTTAAATCCAACTGAGGAAGAGTGTCACTTGCCTTTCAGCGTTCAGTGATTTAACACTAAAGTAATATCAAATCTACAGAATATGAGAGGGGGTAAATCTCCTTGAGCCAGTTGAAAGCTCCTCACAGCAGCCCCAGGCCACACCACACCTTCTGACTCGTATTATACCTCCCGCAGTAATGCTGCACTTTCCAAATTTCAATATCTTCCTCAGCACCTATAAAGCCATTTAATTTCATACCTTGAGATTCATCTGACCACACTCGTATGATATCGATTAATGAATTCATCAGTCACCTGTAGAGTGAAAGGTTCATTATAGGTCACAGGAAGAGCAATGCCCTTATCAGTCGTATGTTATAATTTGGAAAACAAATACAAACCCTGCATTAAAAATGCTGGGATGCTGAGAATTGTTTTTTTTTTTAGGAAAAAAAGTGCTCTATGCCACAACTTTTGTCTATTAAAGGGATAGTTCACCCAAAAATGAAAATGTGATGTTTATCTGCTTACCCCCAGGGCATCCAAGATGTAGGTGACTTTGTTTCTTCAGTAGAACACAAACGGAGATTTTTAACTCAAACCGTTGCAGTCTGTCAGTCTTATAATGGAAGTGAATGGGAATCACGGCTTTGAGAGTCAAAAAAACATACACAAACAAAACCAAATGAAACCCTGCGGCTCGTGACGATACATTGATGTGAAAAGACACGAAACGATTCACCACAATGTCTGAACTGTCCTGAGCGCGTTCTCAACAGCCGGCGCATGACACGTCTTCTTCTTCTTCTTGCTTTACGGCAGATCGCAGACTTATAAGTGCATTACCTCCACCTATCTCTCAAATGGACTATTGACACTCTATCTACAATCTCAATTGGTTTTGTTTGCGTATGTTTTTTTGACTCTCAAAGCTGTGATTCCCATTCACTTCCATTATAAGACTGACAGACTGCAACGGTTTGAGTTAAAAATCTTCGTTTGTGTTCTACTGAAGAAACAAAGTCACCTACATCTTGGATGCCCTGGGGGTAAGCAGATAAACATCACATTTTCATTTTTGGGTGAACTATCCCTTTAAGTCCAGAAGTAATATAGGCCAGGGGGAGATGTGCTGTGCCAATGAAATACTCAGGATGGGAAACATTATTGACTATAGTTGCGGGACAAGCTGCACAAATGTAAAGGGTTTATGAGGCGTTTAACAGCAGTACAGCAGTGGTAACAATCTCAAGTGATATGAAATGTCTTGGAGGATCTCATGTGTGCCGCCAAACAAGGCAGAAAAAGTATCTCCCAGGAGGCATGTATGTCATTCACAGCACTTGACCTCTAAAACAAGTCTTTTTGACACGAGTACGTGTAACACAGAGGGTACTTGATCTAGAGATTTTTTAAGACTTTGTTTTGACTGTGTATATATATATATATATATATATATTAATATATATTGAACTATTGTTCAAAAGCTTGAGTTCAGCAAGTTTTTTTTTTATGTTTTTGACAAAAAAAGTCTCTTATGCTCAAGGCTGCATTTATTTGATCATATATGCAGTAAAACGGTAATATTGTGAAATATTATTACGGTTTACAATAACTCTTTTCTATTGTAATAAAATGTCAATGTAAAATGTAATTTATTTCTGTGATGGCAAAGCTGATTTTTTTAGCAGCCAACAATACAGTTCCTCACGATCACTCACGATCCTTCAGAAATCATTCTAATATGCTGATTTGGAGCTCTACTTTTCAACATTTCTTTTATAATATCAATGTTGAAACGTGTACTGCTACTTAATTTGAAAAAAAAAAAAAAACGTGATTTTTTGATGAATCATATGAACCGCATTTATTTGAACTAGAAACCTTTTATAAAATATAAATATCTAATGCCACTGTACTGATGAATACAATGCATCCTTGCTGAACAGAAGTATACATTTCTTGTTTTCATAATATTTACGTATAACACACCAAAATAATACCAGTGTCAATAAAAAAAAAAGGTACTTTAACCCTGTTTATTGGGCTGTGGTGGTACAAAACACACAAAAAAAGTTGGAAATAAACTGCCAGTCCACTTTATTATCAGAAAAGTAGCTAGAAAAAAATGAGTGTGCAAAGTTTCCCACTGTGACCTCACAGGCAGTGTGTGATTGGCTGGCCTCCGAGCCGGTGACTCAGCTCTCATAAATCTGATTGGATGTCTGCAGTGTGGGGACCAGCAAAGCAGCCATCCAGAAAGGTGCAGCTTCAAAGATGGATTATTAAAGATCAGTTCTTTACGAGCACACTGCCAGCCACCCTCTCTCTCCCTCAGCAGACCATCCGCACAGGACGACAGCTCGGCTATGCTCTAAATCTGATCAAAGGGGCTAAGAAAGACCACAAAAAAAGAGAAAGAAACAGGGAAAAACAAACTCACGGGGTCCAGAGCATGGGGAAAGCGTCGCGCTCCTCCTGTGTGTACTCGCTGAGCTTGCGAGGAATCTCTCTGGGCTGAGGAAGCTCCTCTGTCAGGTTCTTCAGAATGTCCTCAGGAAGAACCTGAAATGGAACACAATGATTTGTATTATTGTATTATTGCACACACACTGCTGTGACAAAGCATTACTGCAGAACTGTGATCAGAGTCAGGTGTCTGACTGGATCCTGTCTAACCTTCCACTGGGGTTCTGTAACTTCGTAACTCACAGAACAATGTTGGCGATTAATGAAAATTCACATCTGATTTCTAGAAATAATAATACGAAAAATAATTTTGTATTCAAACATTTATTTATCGAATAGATTCATGTGGATGAATTATGACGTGATTGCGCAGTAGGGTATTACCTTCATGTAATTTTACTTTTTATGCAGCTGTAGTACTGTATTATGTAGCTTCTTAATCGGATACATCCCATCCTCTACTGAAACATTCATCAAGCACACTGACACATTTCTCCTTTCCAAACATGTCAAGCTTTGGACAGCGCATCAATGAACATAAATCAGAGCATCAACGGAGAGCTTACATCATCTGTGAAGAGGTGAAGCCGTTGCATCATGGTCCTTCTGGTGAGGTTTTTGGGAAGCATCCCGTACACAGCCAGTTTAATGATCTGTGGAGTAAAAAAAAAAAAACAGGCCAGAGATTTGGCCAGAAAATTGTGTCAGTGTCTCTCTAAAGGAAACTTTTAGGGGAAGCGATTTCTGCTTTTTCGTTCTCAAAATAAATAAATAAAACCTAAACAAATAAAGTAATTATACATATTATTATAGCCATACATATATACATATATACACGCATATAGTATATACTATATATATATATATATATATATATATACTGTATATATCTCCATGGCCTCCGAGCCGGTGACTCAGCTCTCATAAATCTGATTGGAAGTCTGCAGTGTGGGGACCATATATCTTGGGAAAATTTGATATATATGTGACCCTGGAGCACAAAAGCAGTCATAAGCAACATGGGTATATTTGTAGCAATAGCCAACAATACATTGTATGGGTCAAAATTATCGATTTTTCTTTTATGCCAAAAATCACTAGGATATTAAGCAAAGATCATGTTCCATGAAGATATTTTGAAAATGTCCTAAATATATCAAAACTTAATTTTTGATTAGTAATACTTTAAAGACAAAGTACTTTTAAAGACAACTTTAAAGGCGATTTTCTCAATATTTTGATTTTTTTGCACCCTCAGATTCCAGATTCTCAAATAGTTGTTTCTCAGCCAAATATTGCCCTATCCTAACTTTTAATATGCTTTTTACTGATCAAAAACACAGTAAAAAGTAATAGTATAAAATATTATAACGATTACATTTTTTTTTTACAATTATTTCAATTAATTTATAATTAAAGATCAACATGAATTTAACTTTAATAATGTTTTTTTTTTTTTTATAGTTTTATCATTATTATTTACATTGGAATAAAAAGGGTGGATACATTATCACATTATTACACAACCAAAAAGTAAAAGCCAATCATGCCCCTGTCAAATTTAAAATTCAAATATATGCTAAGCAAATGCGGTCACTCCACTGGTAACAATTTAAATAATAAATATCAGTCCCTTTGCTTACACCACAACACATGAATACACAAGTGTCCATTTTTGACCCGTCATCCAACCATCCACAAAACACCAACCCAACCCCATTATTCTTTCATCAGAACATTAATCAGGGATTTTTTTTCTCTCTCCTCTGACTGGTAGATGTTTGATGGATGAAAGCTGTCTGAGGGGGTGATCGCTCTTCACCACTCCGTCACCTTCCTCTGATCATTATCCACAATTATCCCTGATACATCCCCCCGTCGACTGGAATAACTCAGCCCAAGTCAAGCATTCATCTTGTTAATGACAGAGAATGAGCAGAATGCTGGAGAGGATGGAGGGCGGCACAGGATGAATCTGAGCTGGCTTTTTCTGGGCCACAGTGCAGCATCTACACAGAACTATACTTCTTCAGTTGCATCCCACAGAAGAAAACTCATGCAGGGTCAGCAGCTTGCGTGCCTTGACTATGGATGGGCTCTGACTGTCACTGTGGAACGTAACGGTCAAGGTTACATTAAGGAGATGAACAACGGTAGAGAGAGTAGGGATATGCACTCTGCATCTCACTATAAATGAAGTGGAACAAAGAAAGAAACACTTGAACTCATCATTCTAAACCCCGGGTAAATTGAGTAATGGTTTATCTTGCTTTACCTTTCACACAGTTCATAATTTACCCTGGGCTAACAATTTATCCTCGGTAATCATATCACACTGTACACTTTTAATGTTCTTACATGTACTGTTTTTATAATGGCTCTAGCATTGCTCATCATCATGTTACAGTATATATTGCCAAATTTACTATAAAGTTTTTCCTGAATTGCATTTTCTGACTATAAAGGTAATTAAACGGTCACTTCTTCACTCCAGTTGACTCATTTTCAGTCATCATTTGACTTTTTCCCCTCAACTGCTAGAAGACGACTGTTTATATGCATTTTTTTGTGGCAGGGGTAAAACCATAGACTGTATAAAAACAACCCAGGGTAAAAAGTGCTTCTAATTCCACTTCTAAATTACAAATGTGTAGGGGTGTAACGGTACACAAACAAGACGGCTCAGTATGTACCTCAGTTTTGACGTCACAGTTCTGTATGGTTTTGGTACAGCAAACTTTTTCTTTTTTAATTAAACAGTGGTTTATATTTCTTTAAATAAATCCAATTATAATTAAAATTTTCTATAGGGACAAAAATCTACCTCAGCTTATGCTCTAAACTATAGGGAGCCCTTTCACATTATTATTATTATTATACGGTTACAGTTAACAACAGAGCCCAAACTTAAATTTAATTGCTATTTATTTTTAAATATATCAATAAACACTCAACAAAATTGTATGCAAACATGTAAATTGCACACGATGCTGTTTTTAAATTAACTTCTAAATTATAAATTAAATAAGACATCACTAACAGGTTAAGTAAAATATAATTATAGTATATAGTCTAACATTTCACGAAATGCTCTTCTCTAGCTCTTCTCTTTACCTGGGTTAAAAGCATGGTTTAGAGCGGCAGTTAATGTAGTCCAGTTTAAAGCAATAGTTCATCCAAAAATGAAAATTCTGTCATTTACTCACCCTCAGGTTGACGGTAGCCATTGACTTCCATAGTATTTTTATTTCCTAAGTATGGAAGTCAATGGCTACAGTCAACTGTTTAGTTAATCACATTCTTCAAAATATCTTTTTTGTGCTCAACAGAAGAAAGAAACTCATACAAGTTTAGAACAACTTGAGGATGAGTAAATGATAACAGAATTTTCATTTTTGGGTGAACTATCCCTTTAAGAAATGTATTGGGTACAAATGTTTTTTTTCCCCCACAGTGGTGAAAAATTATTTTTCTATTCATTTCAGGCTTTTTTTCTTAAATAAACTAATATACTGGAGTATGACACTATCACAAGACATAACTTTTATCACCTGCATGTGTCAGAAACGTGCGATAACCACAGTTCTGACTTGGAATATCATCACACACACATACACAAAAAATGATTCTTCCTCTAATATATTCCATATCTATAGCACTTCCGCTTCATCGAGTGCCATCCTAATCCAACACAAGAATATAATGAGAAGACTTAAAGCTGTTTCTATTATCTGAGCTGCCTGGTATTTGTAATTCTCCAAAAACACGAGTGTGTGATTCACAGCAAAGGCTGCGAGTGTTTTTCAATCCAGGCGCGTCAGCGACAGGTGACACTTGTATAGGTGTATATTGGAAGCAGACAGGCTACGAAAGACTGCAGTGCTGCTTTAATAATGTCGAGGTGTTTGAGCCTTGAAAGAGCACTTTAAAATCTTTCTGACGCTGAGAGAGAAAACAATTTCTTAGTTCGGTGAAGGACAGACTGGGAAAATAGTAAGACAGATAAGCACTGAAAGAATGATGGAGAACTGGGCAATATGGGGTCTGCGCTGCATTTATTATTCAAATGTGTGGCATGCTGATTGTGAGGGAATATTTGGCTCTGCAACTGCCACTATCTGAAATTATTAAAAAAAACATTTGGGCATCATTTACATAAATTAATAAATGAAGTCAATTTTCACCTCCCTCCAAGGTGCAAGGCAATTTGACTCAAATTATGAACAGGTTTGAACCAGTGGCAAGGTTGTGAGTGACGTGGGGACGCTGTTATTGTAGAAATCACTGCAAAATTGAATTTGTCACAGAGAAATGTCCAGTTCAAAAGCCAAATTTAGAGAAGGATACTCACAGCTGTTGGGTCTTTTTTGTGCATTTGGGCTGCGGTGAGCTGTTTGAATGAACCAGGGTAGCTGTGGGATGAAAAAGCAGGTCTTTAGTTTTCCAAATCAGACCTATAAGTCACATTCTAAACATTTTTGGAAAGCAGCATATTGTTTCTATTACATGCACCATGCATATTGTAAATCGTGTGGTTCAGATCTCAGATTTCCTTTTTCGTTTTTGCTCTTTGTCAGCACAAAGAAAACACAGCCGAGAGCAGGGCATAAATGAAAGAATATAAAAAGCATGTTCTCTGTCCTCAGTTGAGCTAGAATGTGGAAGGAGAGAGCTCTGTTTACCCAGTGTGAGACGAATACACTTTCTGTTCCCATTTATTTCCAGAGAAAGCGATGTGTCTGGTGTTCATGACTACCACATGGTCTCCAATATCACCTGGGAACAAGACATGTACATGATACATTTTCACATTCAGCTTGAACTCTTGACATTACTCCCTGCTGAGGAAAAATTACGCTTTACAACAGTGGAATTTAATGTGTAAAGTATTGGTTCTTTGTCAAGTAAATACTGACATTATATGCTACTAATATATAAGTACAGAAAATAATTACTATTCGCCAAACAAAAAGATAACATCTACTCTTAATTTATTTTTTTTAATTCTGCATTTTTATTACTGTTTTCTTCAACAATTACTTGGAAGAAGTAATAATAATGATAATAATAATAATAATAATAATGTAAACAGATTTAAATATCTAAAGATATACATAAATAAATTAATATTAAATGTATTTTTATTACAAAATGTATTATACTTATGTATATATATTAGGGATGGGTCACGATTTTCGAATATTCGATTAGTTGATTTAATTATAGAATATCGAATAGGTTGTGCGATTATGGTCTTAAAAAATGTTTTCCGTGCTGATACGGTGGTGACGCAGAGGGTGGCGCTGCCAATAACGCACCTAAAAGCTGTCAAAGACAACAGAAGAACACATTGTCTCACGTGCACACTGTAGACTTGCATGGTATAAAAAAAGACTTGCCTAGCATATAATGGTTACAGTAACTTGGGACGATGTCAAATAAAAGTTTTGTGCGGACCACAAACTCCCCCGCCTGGGTTAGAGGTGTGGCTGTAGTCAGAAAGGCGCAGAAAACAAATAACGCATTCTACGGAGCCACTAATGGCTACTTTTTTTAGTACCACGTCAGTTGAGGTTCCAAGTTAACCGTACCGTTACCAAAACGTGACGTGTAAACTCTGCTGATCACGGATTGGCCGGAGAGAATCGTCACTACCTGCGTCACTAAACTTGCGACACAAACACAACAGAACCGCTAGATTTAAATCAGCACAGCCAGCGAAGGACCGAATGCAACTGTTTTGAACAAGCGCACCTTTTTTAACAACCAAAAAGTGGCTGTTCCCCCTGTTGAGGAAGTACAGACGTTCCTCTCGTTGATAGCAGAGGAGCAGATCCAGCGAGAGCTTGATGGGGCGACACGGAATGAAAAAGTTTTT